ATATACGTGTACCGGTTTGCTACTAAGCAGAGAAAATGTATATTCGATGACAATAAGTGCACTAGTTCAACAGGCTCATATCTCGGTATAACATTGGAAATCATTAAAAAAAGGGTTGATGATTTTGTAGACTGTTGCACACATAATTTTGAGTGACTTATAAATATATGTGTATGTACAAATTAGTGTAGTGTAGCCATAGGAGTCGAAACTTCCTCCCCGTAGCTTATTTTGCAGAATGAAATGATTGAAAATGGTGTATTCATATTGTATCCCGCGCTTTAACCCTGCCATATAAAGCATATAAATATGCATTCAATGTTACAATAAATGTGCTTGGAAATAAATGTTTTGTTTGTTTGTTTTTCATTCGTGAAAAAGACTAGTTCACGAGGGTACTCGTGTGGATACTATGGAGTAACGAAGCTGGGACGTCATCAAAATCTATATTTAGAATTTCTCAAATTTGTCTTAATTTTTTGAAAGAGCATCAAAAATAATGTCCAAATGTCGAAAACCAGGAGCCAGAGCATATATGACACCCAGTTCCCATAGGACATATAATTATTCAGATGGTCATATCTCAGCCAATACTTAACACATTCAATTGGCTTTCGACATTTGGACATTATTTTTGATGCTATTTCGGAAAATGAAGAAGAAATTGAGAAATTCTAAAATTAGATTTTTGATGACGTCACACTTCACCACTCTATAGTACGTTTGCTACTCTTTGAGATGGTGCAATTGGAGATATGTTACAGCAGTGGTAGCGATGTCAATAAAGTACCCTGCCTTTAAAAGGACAAGGTAGGAGAGTGAGGAAATTAATGGATGAAGAGGAGAGGGAGACAAGAAGGGAATAAGAAGATAAAGGAGAGAGAGAGAGAGAGAGAAAGATGGTAAGATAGCGAAAGACAGGAGACAGAGAAAGGAGAGAGAAAGAAAGTAAGGAAATAGAGAAAGAAGGAGAGAAAGGAGAGAGAAAGAAAGTAAGGAGATAGAGAAAGAGTAAGAAGATGGAAAAAGACAGGTCAGAGATAGAGAAAGAAAGAAGAAAAAAAAAAGAGTATGGAGAGAGAGAAAGAGTAAGAAGATGGAAAAAGACAGGTCAGAGATAGAGAAAGAAAGAAGAAGGAAAAAAAGAGTATGGAGAGAGAGAAAGAGTAAGAAGATGGAAAAGGAGTATGGAGAGAGAGAAAGAAAGTAAGGAGAGAGAGGAAGATGGAGAGTAAGAGGGGGAAGGAGAAAGAAGTACAAAGAGTTGTAAAGTAATATTAATTTCCCTTACAGGTTCAGTGCATGAATAAAATTTCACTCTCTCAATTTCTTCTCACATCTCATGAATTCATGCCAGGGCCAGCATCATAAAAAGAGTCTCGACTGTAATTTTGCAAATAATCAAGATTTGTGACAGATTCAGATAGCAACTCTTTTCAAAATAGGGCCCTGGTCGGTACTGTCCATGGGAATGTATGCATTTTACACTCTTTTTCTTCTCTTCTGTTCCTACTCTCCAATATCTCAACCTCCTTCTCTCTCTCTCTCTCTCCTTATTACTTTCTTTCTTTCTCTCTCTTTCTGTCTTCTTACTTTCTTTCTCTCCTTCCTCTCCCTCTTCTCTCTCTATCTCTAAAGGAAGGGTAAATTAATCACATGGAAACTTATTAAAATTATTTTTTAAACCTCTTTAACATAAAACACTTTCATTACACAGTCTCATTATGAAATGGTAAAATAACCAAGCTTTTTTTGTAAACTGGAATAAATAAATGAAGTTGGTCTGATGTCTTAGATTTCTTTCACGAATCATGATCTTGGACCCAGAGCAGGGTTCAATTGAATACAGACTAGAGTTTTTCTAAAGAGGTTCCACTGTATAGACTAAATCAAGATTATTGCATATGTTAAAATACAAGTACAGTGGAACCTCTGTATAAAAAGCTCTGATATTAAAGGAGGTGTCGATCTGTTTCAAACAATGTGATTTTGATGGTCCCAGCCCTTTATATTCTTTCGTTTTTTTACCCCGATATAACAAGATTCCCGATACAACCAGGGACCTCGTTATAACGAATTTCCACTGTACAATCAATAAACAACGTTCAATAAACCAAATGAATACATTATGGATGATTGATTTTAATACTGTGCATACACGCACCAAGAACACCACATGGAATTAATAAAATGCTTGCAACTATTCATCATTTCCATTACTGAGCGTTTCCATGCATTTAATCTCTAACCATGAACATTACTCGCCTTCCGACAAGAGTTGATAAAGAAAATGGATTTATTTTAAAAAGGTCAAAAGGCATAGGAAAATGCCACACTGTAAACTCATACTAAGCCTTTTGATTGCAAAATGAGATGTCACACTGAAAATGAGATAATTGCCATGATCATTACATTGTACTATACATGCTTATCAAATACAAGGTGGGTACCATGGTGGGTTTATTAATGACAAAAATGCAATGCGCTTCAGGTTTCCTTATCTCGTTGCAAATAAGCGAGTACTGTACATAAATCTTTGTTGCACACATTTCCTTTTTGTCATTAACTTGCCATTAACTTCCAAGTAAAAAGAAAAGAAGTTAATCTTAAGCGGTTTCTCACGTCACATGTGAACAAGCCTATAAGTGAGGGTAATAGGAACAATGTGAACAGGACCAAAAGAAGGACGGGCTTTCACATATACAGTTAAAGATGAAGTTGAGTTCTGGTCATGCGATTGCATTGTGAAAGAAACGGTGTGGAATCGACCAGAAAAGGTTGATCATCTAGCATATAAGAATTTGTGTGTATTGCAAGGTTCTGAAATCATCAAAATGATAAGAAATTTGGCCACGTCTTGATAAAGTTACAAACACTTGCACAGAAAGATGTATATGGGACTACACGAACACGTGGTGTAAAAAGCCGGCCCCCCCCCCCCCCCCCCCCGATTTTTACGATTTTACATGCAAATTTAGAATATGAAGGCATTTGAAGAGCCATGCTTTTCAGGGAACATGTCTTAACTGATGTTCTTCCACACTTGCATAATAAGAATGAGTAATGCTCACAAATTATTTTTCACCTCTTCCCAGAACTCAACCTTCTCTTTAAGTATTCATAATTCATACCCTTACCAAGTCTTGTAATTGTTAAAGTATGTGGAAAGATGACATAAAAGTATTTTTAAAAAGGCCCTTATTTAACTAGTTGACCTTTCATCCTTCTCATTTAGTTACCAAAAACATCAAATTTACCAGGGGTATGAATAATTAAATTGTTAACTGTACATGTATTTCATTATCTCCAGGAAAGATATAAAACCAGTTCATTTCATTTATTCACGATAGATAAGAGAATGAAATGGATCTATATAATTACTAGATTAAAATCATGAAGAAAAAACACTGAACAATTTTGTTGTTCCTATTTACCCTATTTAACAGTACGTTGTACTTATGCAAAGCACAATGTATCACATGTTGTAAGTCATTATAAATCAGAAATACTTTTCAGATTCTTAATTTATCACAATAACCATTCAAGAATTGAAATTAAAAACCTATACAGCTCTTCCTAGCTATGATTTTGATTGAAGCATTATGACGCATCAGTTTTCAGTGCAAGATTAATTCAAACCATAATAACAATATTTCTCTTTGAAAACTGAGAGAAAATATTTCATCACATTGCTTATAATTCGTACATTCTCACTTTTGAATTATAGTCAACAATGCATGCCCATATAGCACAACCAGGCTAATAACATTGGCAGATGTGCATGTATATAGTAAACAGAATTTCTTGATTTGGGGAGAATAAGGGTTAAAACAACAACCACTTAAAACATGGTTAGCTAAGTTGCACCACAAGTTGTTAAAAGTTAAGTGTCCCTATATCTTTTCTCTGCCGCTAGATCGACTACCGTAAACAGTTGTAAATGAACTATCAAATGCCAAATATTTACTTTTTTTTCTTGTTTGATTAAAAAAAAGGAACACTACTTAACTGCATACATGGTCACCTTAGTGCCAAAAGGACATTAATTCATTACAGGGACCACAGTGCGGGCTCCAGAGGGCTTTGACGGAGTAGAATAAACTTTGTATTCCATATTTATAATATGTACCAACGTACTTTGATAACTTTTTGGGGAAGGAGCACAGGTATAGAGCAAAAAAGTTAGGAATTACGAGACCAATAATGCAGTGCTTAACAGGTTGTCATATTTACAATTTCTGAAAACTGAAACTATGTTCTCTAAAGCAAGCTACAGCCAAATTTGTGGCCCATGCATTAACACAAAGTTAATACCTTTCAAGCTCTCCAAAGACAATACCATAGATTGATGAATTCTCAGTTCCCATCTGTTATGAAACTGATTAAAAGATAGAGAAACAAACTTTGAACTTATTCCTCTTCTTAACAAATTCTTTAAGGTATACAAACTTTTCATCACAACTTAGCTTTGAAGCTGAACTAATATAGTTCATTAAAAACAAAAAAGAAACAAAAGAAAAGACTTTTCGTATTACAAACACATGTACTATGAAAGAGATGACTAAATACAATTAGAAGAATTAAAAATTAAAAATGTACATATTTAGAGCGCCTTTGGATGATATTTTCAAGTACTCTGTCTCAATCACTAATGACACATTGTGGCTTGGAGGCAAGAAAATGTACAAACTCACTCCTCCAAGGTACTGAATTTCAGAAAATGCTGGAGAGTTCCAATTTTTACAGAATTAATATAACAATGCACAATCCTTTCAGTCATAACAAAAATACAGGGGTACAAATTTGATTGTACAGTCAAACCTGTCTATAGCGACCGCCCAAGGGAAACACAAAAAGTGGCCTTTGTAGACAGGTGGTCTTTGTAGACAGGTGGTCTTTGTAGACAGGTTTCTTCAGTACATGATTCAATGAGAAACCATTTTCAAGGGAAGCAACAAATGTGGCCTTTGTAGACAGGTGGTCTTTGTAGACAGGTGGTCACTAAAGCAGGTTTGACTGTATATGGTCATGGTAAAATACAGTGCTGGGTTTATCTTCAAAAATGTGATTAGTGTTGGAAAGTGGCCATAGAGCCATTAATTTATCATTATCATATTCAGAGTATAGGCAAAATTGTGATTCATGAACATTGCAAGCTATCATGAAATTAATTATAAGCTGAACAAAAATTATTGTAAATATCAGGAAATGTAGTACATGTTATTGCAAATTAGAGGTAAAACTTCAGAAAACACTGACAAAATTTGTTTATTATTTGTCAACATTTGCCTACTTGTTCCATACATACTTTTAGTTATTTGAAATTCACTCTAAAACAGGGTGAACGTGCGTTTGGAATTAGATTAAAGAAGACAAAAACAGGACCAAGAAAACCCTATTAACTCTAGTAAGCATGTGCCAGTACAAAAATGTACTAGAATAATTCAACACATTCACCCTTTACTACGAAATGGCAAAAGCACCGTATTACAGTCAGATATATGCTCATCGAAAAACACAAAGAAAATTGAATTAAAAATGATCTTCATGTATTATTTGTACAAACCAGACAAACTTTTATAATCATGAAACACATAAACATGATAATACATTATTTTTCAATAGGCATAATTTTTCCATCCAAACTGGACCTAAACAGCAGGGTAGTATAAACTTGTCCATATTCATAAAAGAGTTGATTAGTTTGGTTCTTTTTTCAGATCAGTTGCAGCTTCTCAAATGGTGATAGATGATGACATGAAATGCATTGCACTAGCAGAAACTGAAAAAGAAATTAGCATTATGATCGTGCTTGCAGTCTGTAGGCCAAATTTGGTTTCTTCTAGAATGATTGTATCATAGCATGCCACACAGAAGGGCGTGAACACAACCAGTTGACAGTAAATTGTCATTTTCCAGAAATGTGGTTTATAAAACACTGACCACATTTTACTTAATCTAAACAAGATAAATCTATTCCTACTTTGTCTAAATTGTTCAGTCATGGGTGGTATTCCTCTGAAAAATTTCTTAATCGCTTTATTACAGTCAAATAAAATCTTCAAAATTGTGTGCAACATATCGTCTGCTCAGATCCAGAAAGGAGTCAAATCTATGTTAAAAAACATACAATATCACATACAGCTCTGTTTTCTTCCATCTTTTAAATTTCTGTGTAAAAGCTCCACAAGAAAAGACATATAAAAACTAAAGTTTGGCATTTTTAACTTGATTTCAGGGAGAAAACAAAAATATTGTCTTTTGGTCACATTTTGCTGACTGCATCAAAAAGGAGACAAAGAATGCAAAAACAATGCAAACCTGTATCCTGCTTTGGATGTAATTCTTTTCCTTCTTCATTTTTTTTTTTTGGGGGGGGGGGGGGGGGGGGGGGGGGGGATACAAATTGGAATTACTAATCAAGAGGTTCTTGTTTGATTTGAATCCCCATCCATTCTCGATCGTCCTCGATACCATCAACTAAGGAATCACTAAGATGGTTAGAATTCTCATACCCTAAGTTATCATTCTGATCTTCAACAAACGCTTGTTCTTGGGCCCGTTCTAGCTCTACATCAGGTTCTAGCTCTGCATCAGGCCCAAAATCTTGATCCTCAGTCTGGCCAAAGTCCACCCCCTGTTCATAGCCCAAGTCTCCTCCGTTAAGGTCCAGATCATCCATTGCCCCAGGACCGAATGGGCAAGAATCTTCATGGTCTGCGCAATCCACCCTTAACCTGAATTCCTTAGCACAGAATTGACATTGAAAGAGGCCTTCTCCGTGATGCACCCGCATGTGGTTCTCTAATCTGATGCGTTTCCAGAAAGCTTTGGAACACTTTTTACATTTATGCTTCTTCTCTGCGACCTTGATCTTCATACCGTGGACATTCGTGGATGTTGGTTTGCTACCTACGTCCCCACCCTTGAGTTGGGCAGCAGCCTTGCGCCCCAGGACATGAAAGGCACAGGAGTCCCTCTTGATGTGTCGGACAAGATGGTGGCGCTGGGTGAAGGCAAAGTTGCATTTATCACATTTGTAAGGTCTGTAATCCAGCTCACCCGCTGAAAGAAGGGATGACTGGTTTACAGGTGATGAAGATCTTCCAGTCAATAGGGATTCTAGATGAGACATTGGCTGACCAGAAGAGGACGGTCGTACCAACGAGGGCGAGAGTGGAGCCTCCAGACGTTGCTGCAACAACGATGGTTGTTCATGTTGGACAGCTTCATTATGCAAATTTCCTTGGCTTGTTATGTTGGTTATAAATGGACCTTCACTTACATTGCCATCATCAGCAATATAGTGTACTTCAGCTCTACCTGCACGCCCGTGAGCTCTTTGAATGGTATCATCTCCTGCAGGTTCTTTAGGTTTAAGAGGAACCCCATGCTTGAAAAGCATATGCCTTGATAGACTTGACTGCTGCTCAAACACAGCATTGCAAATGTCACAGACAGACATCTTGCTGATATCCTTCAGAGGTCTTTTGCTGTTATCAGATGCCTTCGAGTATATCTTCCTGTGTGATTGACGCTCATGAGCCATGCAGAGTCCTTTAAGCCTGAATGCAGATGGGCAATATCTGCAACGGAACAGTTTCTGTTTTGGAGTTGCCTTTTGCTCCATAGATTTCTTGGAAACAACATTAGGTGAAGGCTTGACAGATGCCGCTGGACTGGAGCTTGGTAAAACCTCTGCCACTTGTTTTGCCAGTGTCTCTGAATCTGGCATTGCATTCACACCTGAAGCTGATGTTGAGACAGTTGAAACTGATGTAGAGACACTGGAAACTGGTGTTGAGACAACTGTAGATGTACTGGGCCTTTTCTCTACACTGGGTCTTCTTTGAGAACTTAAACTAGATCCAGAAAAGATACCAGGAGACGTCTTTGACCAGTCTGTAGATGATGGTTTTTGAGCTGCAAGATTTGACACTATTTTCTCCAGTCTACTAGCCGATGAAGATTGTCCTTCTGGTCTTCTGGTTTGCTGAAAAATACTCGGCAAGACGCTGTCTGAAGTGTCAGGAAGCAGGGCTTGATAATCTCCAAGGGCACTATCCTGAAGAGATCCTAGATCATAATTGTACTCTGGCTCATCCACAGGCTCTGGCTTGACCACCAGGACTCCAGTAGATGGTCCCTGCTGTAGCACTTTCTCAGCAACATATGGAGCTATAGCGTCTTCTTCCAGACCGGGCTCTGTCTTCACTCTTATAGTTTGCCCGTCTTCTGGATGATTGAGCCTGTGGTTGAACTCCGATGACAATAACTGCAGCAACATATTATTCCAGTCTGGGTGGTTTAGCTCATGTTTCTCTCGCTCCTCTGGGTTGGCGAATCTTAGAGGACACTGACTGCAGATGAACAGCTTGTGGTATATATGTTCATGAATATGAATGCAAAGCATACCGGCCGAGTTGAAGTAATTACCACAGACTGGACAGGCTTGCGGTGCTTCTGTGGCAGGATTCTCCTTCTTTTTGGGACACCCAAAGCGGGTGTGCTCTTCCAACAGGGACTTCTTGGTGACTGAATACCCACAGTCCCGACACATGAATATAGCTGCCGTCAATTTCTCCTGAGAAGTGGTGGGCCTGGAATGTTCCCATTTCATGTGCTTGGCATAGTTTGAGAGAGTCTTGTAGCCCATACCGCACTTGGCACATACATGTGGTCGATCAGGGGATGGCTTGTGAAGCTCCAAATGGAAGCGTAACTGTCCTCTTTTGACAAATCCTTTCTTACAGTACTGACAGATATGTCGTTTCAGCTTTCCACTTCGTGACATCTGAGGTTGTGCCATCTCTCCTAGTTCTGCATTAAACTCTGTACTACTGGTAGTCATAGTATTGTTTTGCTCATCTAGTTTTTTCTTCCTTTCCTTTTCCCTGGCCAGCTTGATACATTGAATGTTCATGTTTACATGCTTGCTCAAATGTTGCTTAGTACTGTAACCAATTTGACAGCGCTCACATCTGAAGGGCTGGTTTTCCCAGTTGTCATGATTTTTCATATGTGTTTCGAGATGAGGTCTGGCAAGGAATTGATAGCTGCATATGGGACACACTAGATGTTTATTACTAAAACCTTGCCTAGTAGCAGCAGCAGTAGTAGCAGCACTCTCTTCACCTTCAACACCCTCTACAGCAGCAGATGCTGTATTCATCTCTTCGGTTCCATCTCCACCTTGCAGATTCGTCTCAACTTCTGGAAGGTCATCAACAAACTTACAGGATTGTTTTTCCAGGTGCTCTACCAAGTCGCTTTTATTTTCAAATTTCTCCTTACAACGAGGACATCTGACCCCATCCTGATGACCTTTCCCCTTCCCCCAAGGATGAACTACATTGCAGTGCCTGTGGTAGTCCAAAAGTCTTGTGTAACCCAGCGTGCAAATTTTGCAAACAAACGGCTTTGTGTGTGCTACCTTGTGAAGACGTGTATGCTTGCGCAGATGGATGACAGTCATAAAGGCAAATCCACAGGTTTGACATACAAATGGTCGTGCCCTATCCGACTTGTTTGTTCTATTGTGAACTGGTATTCGACCTGCTGTCATATTCCAACTACTTGTACTAGTAGACGGCACCTCGACTTCAGACAATTCATTTGTTTGCTCTGCGTCGTCTCTTAATGGAAGATTCTCTTCATAACTCTCTTCCATTGTTTCCACATTCACTTCCACATCCTCTTCTTGCTTGATGACTGAGGGAGTGAATCCTTCTTGTGGCCTGATGAAGCCAAGGGCATGGCGTCGCAAGTGCTTCTCAAGTTCACTAGGTCTTTTGTACCTTTGGTCACACTGGTCACAGCAGAACTTCTTGTCATGTCCAGTCTCTCTGATGATCCTCCTACCACCTAGGTTGATGACGTCCCTCTGAAGACCACCGTGATCCTGGCGTACGTGCTTGGTGAGCATGATTTGATTGCTGAAAGGAACAGAGCAGATTTTACATACAAATGTCGAGGTTCTTGAGCATCTCTTCATGTGTACAAGGTAGAGGCTCTTTGTACGGAATGACAACCCACATCTCTTGCAGCGGTCCGAGGTCGACTTTTTCCTTGACTGCAAATCTGGATGAATGAATCCAGGAGCTCTGCGGTGCATCTGTACATGCCTTTCCAAGTGTGTTTTGGAGTAGCAGGCAAATCCACAGGTTTTACAAGAAAATGGTCTTGTATTGGATACACCAAGCTTGTGAACTCTCTCATGTCTCCAGACAGAGGATCGATCCTTGTAAGTAGCAGGACAGTAATGGCATTTATGCATATTCTTTCCTAAGCTAGCCTGCAGGGAAATTAGATCTGGTTTAATGTCTCTTGGTGGCAGTTGTTTGGATGAACTTGCTAAACCTTCGTTGCCAGGAGCACTGCCAAAGTGTTTAACTCGACCACGATGTCTAGACAGACCAACCATTGTATTGTATCCAATCTTGCAAACGTCACATTTGTAAGGTTTATTTGCACTCTTAGCATGAACACGCAAGTGTTTGTAGATTCCTGAAGAATCACTGAAGTTATCCTCACAGATGGGACATTTGTAGGTTTTCAGTCCTGTGCGTATTGGTTTCCTAAAATCAGGCGTCACATTGTCTTTAGGATCTTCATTGTGAACACGCATTATATGCTTTGTCCTTTCTTTGGTGCTCTTGAATCCGAACCCACAGTGTGAACAACGAAACGGCAAGTTGTCTCCCGTTTCATGTCGTTTCCGATGCCTGTTCATGTTGCATCTCATGGTGAATGTATCTCCACAATACTTGCAGGCAAATGGTCTCATCTTGGAGGGTCTACAAGGAGACCTGATTGGAGACCTGACTGACTGGGATACCGGCTCAGGGGTAACCTTCAGGCTGTTCAACATCTCTGCGACCGGTTCGTCTCCTACATTGTTTGAAAATCTGCGATGGGCTCGTCTCAAATGCTTCGTCATGTTACCAACAGAATAGAAGCCAAGGCCGCATTCAACACACTTGAAGGGTTTGCCTGCACTCTGTTTGTGGAGACGGATGTGCTTGTATTTGGTAGTCCTCAGTCGGAACCTGTCACCGCAAATTGGGCATGGAAAGGGTCTATCGGACATTCTTATTAAGGCTTCCCCACTACTTTCAGTTAAGTGTGCAGCCAGTCCACTTTGTTCCTTTTGTCTAACTGCGGACTGTCTTGGTGAAACGCTATGAACCTGAATATGATCATCTAGGAGGTGCTTGGCTTTGAATGTATCACCACACAATCGACATCGGAAGGGCCTCTTGGTCTTGATATCTATACTCTCTGCATTTTCTAGTTGAGAATACATCGTAACAGGGTCGGTCCGTACTGGAGTCCCTGGCTGACCTGTATGGACTTTCTGATGCTTCTTCAAGTTTGTAGAACTAATAAACCTGCACTGACAGATGTCACAGACATGATTCCGCTCATCCTGTCTATCATGGCTATGCACTTTGGTATGTGTCGTCAGTGAACCTTTGGTTTTGAAAGTGCACAAACACTGCTCACAAGAGAAGGGTCTTTCCTCTGCATTTGATGTCACCCCTTCATTATCTGTACTTAGAAGGAAACCGTCGCTTTCTGTTTTAGTATAGGTCTTAGACGGCGAGGGGTTGCTTTTACCCACTTTGATACGGTGAGAGTGCATGTGATTAGATAGGCCCGATCTCCTCATGAATCTCATGAGGCAGATGCGACACTGATAAGGCCTATCTGAAGTCATATCTACAGAACCCATTAGCTCTTCCTCCCATACAAACTCTACGTCTGGGTGAACTTTCTTGTGATTGCTGACACCGGAGCGTCTTGTGAATGTTTTCTCACACACCGGACACTGCAAGCCTTTTATAACGAACACCTGCTTATCGCCATTCCGGAAAATCTCTGTTGCGTTCACAGCATGGCCCGTCCCCCGCATAAAACCAAAGTTCAACTTGGAATGGGAGCGTTCGTGTATTGTAAGGGATCCCCTGTGCTTGAAACCGGCACTGCAGTACTTGCATCTGAACATTGACTTAAAAGATATGGACTGGGTATGAGATGCCAGATGTTTCAGCAGCTCCTGCTTGGTAGTGAAAGCATTCCCACACTTTACGCAGTCATAGGAAACTGTACTAGTGGAGGTAGATGTAGCTGCTTGGGGACCGTGAATCTGACCATGCTTGGCGATACTAGTTTTGGTCTTTGCATAAATCCCACAGACTTTACACTGGAAGGGGCGATCGCTGGACTTGATATGGCGAGGGATGTGTTTTTTCAGGTTCCTTGCATACTTGTAGCTAGTACCACACTTGGGACACACGTGGCGCCTTGCTTCTTTCCCACTTAGAAACGGTCCTTTGTCTGTTGGTTCCACAGTGAGATTCGGCGGAGAAGTTGTGGATGTTTGAACTCTTGACTTCCTGCCAGGCATTTCATTCAGGAGCATCTTTGTCTCCGCAATGTATTCTGGAGTATGAACCCTCATATGGCGTGTGTGGTTGGAAAGTCCTTTGAATGCAGCCCAACATTCAACGCATTTATATGGACGGGGAAATCTTGAGTGCTTTTCGTGAACTCTTGAATGGCTCTCCAGACCCCAAAATGAATCGAAACGTGCCCCACATCTGTGGCACACATGCAATTCATTAGGAAGCGTCACAGTCTGTGGTGTGCTATGGAGTGGTGTCGTATTAGGTTCCATTTTGATTTCCTTTTTGCCCAAAGCACTGGCGTCGATATCAGCTTGGTCAAGACCATGGACAAACTTCAAATGCTTGGTACGATCAGACTGTCGAATGAAGGCTAGATCACATAACGAACACTTAAATGGACGAGAACTAGAACCCTGACTGTGTTGCTTCAAGTGTACAGACAAAGCATAAGAACTCTTGAATGTTCCTCCACACTTGTCACAGTTGAAGCCTTCTGTCTTGATTCTGCCAAGGTTAGGGTTTGCTCGGTTTTTTGCTGCCCGCAGTTCTTCTGCATGTTTCTTCTTCATGTGGCCTTTCCACACCTCCTTGCGGTTGAACGACCATGAGCAAAATTTACAAGTGAATGGACGCTCCCCGCTGTGGATACGCAAGTGTCTCCTGACATTGGCAACAGATGAGAAAGTGGTACCACACTCATGGCACATTAGAGGGTCTCTTTTCAGGCTCGAATCAAGAGAAGCTGCAGATTTCTGTTTTTGGAAAGGCAGCTTGATCTTCAGAGTGTTTGGTGCGTATCCTGGTGAATGAGAAGCAGATGCTGCTTTTGGTTGGTTGGGTACCATCTGCCGATGCTCATTAGGATGATGGCGAGAGGTATGCATTAGCAGGAGACATCTCCGACGGAAGCTCTTGGTGCAAAAACTGCAAGGGAATGGCTTCTTGAGCTTGTGTCTGTAGCGATGATCCTTGAGATAAGATCGCTTGGAAAAGGTAAGGTCACAGATCTCACACTTGAAGGGCTTGTTAGGGTCTTTGGATCTCAATCCTGGTGGATGTTGAGTTTTGATATGGTCATCTAGATAGCTCTGTCTTACGAACCTCCTCTCACAAAAGTCACAGAGGAGCGGTTTCAGCTTGACGTGGGCTTGCATGTGCTTCTTGAGAGTGGCAGAGAACTCAAAACTTTTACCACAAACTTTGCAGACGTATGGCCTGTCTGAGATTGGTTCAATAATCATATCAGGCTGAGAGATTTTCTTCTGGTCCATGGACTGATTCCTTTCAAGAGCCTTGTTGATAATCTCTTCGTATTTTGCATCTAGAACACTGTCCTCAATGGCAGAGGTATCTGCTTCGGGGTGCACTTCTTTCATATGGCTGATCAGGTAGGCTTTCCTTGTAAACTGTCTTTCACAAAAGTCACAGGGATACGGCTTCCCAAAGTGTAAGAAGAGATGTTCCCTCAGTGAAGACTTGGCAGTAAATGCTCTGTCACATAATTCACAAGCAAAAGGTCTGTTTTTGCCATCATCAGGACATCTCAGAGGAGTAACAGACTGTGGGGCTAGGGACGAGTCACCCAAGTTCTTGAACGCTTCACCCACATCCTCACCTGCGAAGTCATCACTTGCGAAGTCATCACTTGGGTTATGTACTGTTGAGACAAGTGACTCATTACGAGTTTGCGGCTTTGTTAACAAAACTTGGAGAATGGACCCTGTGGATTCATCAACTTCGCCAGCATTGTTAACATCACCATTCTTGCTTGTTGCTCCAATCCGTCCATGCTTTACTGTTTCCCTCTGCTGTTGTTTGTGTGAGATCATATGTCTCTCTGCCTCATAGGCTCTCTTAAAGTCCATAGGACAATACAGGCAAACATATGGTTTGTATCCCCAGTGAACATATATGTGCTCCAAGAGGTGTGCCCTCTGCTTAAGCTTCCTCTTACAGACAACACAGGCCCAAGGTCCATCCATACTATGAATCTCTACATGAATTTGCAAGTGAGATTCCTCAAGGAATGTTGACTCACAGAGTTGGCATTTGAAGGGTCGAGGAGGCCTAACCTCATCAGGGAATGTCCCAGCCTCTACAGAGATGTCGTCAATGCTATCACTATCCCGAAGAGAAGAAGCAGCAGAGCTGGCTGATATACTTGACGCAGTTCCCCAGATTTGATGAACTTTAGAGTGGCGTTCTAGCATCTTTTTAGAAGGATAACTTCTGTTGCATGTTTCACATTTGAACTCGCCCTCCCTTTGGTCACTACTTGTCATTGTAGCATGTGCCTTAACACAGTTTGCTTCATGCTCTCTGAACTCATCCCTATCAAAGAACTCAAAGCTACAAAACTTGCAGATGTAATTGTCCACATCAGACACAGAAGTAGAATTCTCAAACTGGTTGTTCTGTGGCAGAACCAAAGGAGGGGGATGAGGCTTCTGAGCGGCACGGATCAATTTCTTATGATTTCTCTTGATGTGGACTTTCAGTTTCTTATTGCGCATAAAGCCCTTTGGACAGTATGGACACACAAATGGCCGATGGCCAGTATGGCTGTATTCGTGTTCTTTTAAGCTGGACTGACTTTTGTATGTCTTTCCACAAGTACCACAGAAGAAGGGCCTTTCTTTGTGATCTACCTCATGTTGCCTAAGACTATCCTCATTAATGAACGACACAAAGCATGTTACACACTGAAACAATGTATGTGTCTTCTGGTGTTCTTCAAGAGCCTGCCTGTTGTGACACGCCTTTTTGCAGATGCTGCAGATATTTTGCCTCCATACCTGTTGGGACATTCCATCTTCAATTTTCCTACTGGCCAAGGAGTTGACTGTACTTTCACCTTGATCCTCATCACCGGGTATGATCTCCACTATCTCTTTCTCAATGTTTACATTGGCAGCAGGGATGAAATCCCCATCCAGGGCATAATGAGAACCAACTTGGGCTTGGTCAGCATATGCAGTGTCGTCTACCTGGATAAAATCACCCACAGTTGAAATAGGGTCACGTTGATCAGTTCCTACTTCATTAACATCAGCCAGCTGGCCTGACGTCTCATCTCCCATTGCAAGGAGACCTGCATTTGTAGTTGGGTGGTCATGTCCATTGATAGTTATCTGATCAGCTTTGTCCATGATTTTATCTGAAGACTCCACTTCATCTCTTGAAGAATGCACTGGAAGATCCTTGTCAACAGACCCTTGTGTCCTTTCACGGTCTACTTGCACTGGTCCATCCTTTGCTTTGTCGTCATCGGCGTTCTCAACCCTGGTTATCTCTACTACATCAGCTTTCGCAATAACAGATCGTTCTTCAGCCTTTGAGGTTGTCCTTTTTCCAAGGATCGGTCCAAACTTGTCAAATATGTTATCACTCCTGGCACCAACATCACTGCTGTGCTCTTTTGCAGTCCCTCCCGTTGCTGGCTTCACGCTTTTCTTTATCCCCAAGAGAACGGTCATCTTCTTCCCTTCTGCATTGCTAATCTTCTTTGTCATTGGGTCTTCAGACTTTGAGGAAGCCTTACCATCGGTAGTAGCTTCTGTGGAGGGTGTCGTCTTTTTATCAGCGACATCTTTACCTCCATTGTTGTGACGAGCAGCAACATGGATCTCCAGATATTCCTCCTCATCAAAGAGCTGTCCACATTCATGACACAGATGCCAGTCAAGTTCTGATTTTTTTTTTTTTGGGGGGGGGGGGGGGGGGGGGAAGGAAGCAAAGGAAAAAAATGTTAATTATACAGATAAAATGTGATACAATTTGTATAATAAGGATGATGCTTTGATAAAATATAAACATAGTATGTTTGGTAATAGTAGTTCTTTTTATACATGTGTTTTCAATGGTAGTTGTAAGATTTGAACAGGATAAGTTTGCATCTTGAAACTTGACACTTTCCTAGAGTTACATGAATCCATTAGCTTTCAAGAGATATCTTAAAACAATATGAGCTGCTCTAATAATTTCCTTTATGGGTAAAGGAACACTCACAAATTAAGTCAATACTGGCCGATACAAGGCAATAAACCTCAGAACAGCCTTTCAAACAGCTTGCGCCCAATACTTTCAGATTCGTATAGAAACCCAGTCAATAATCAATACCACTGCACTACTTATAGCTACTTGCGCCCTCTATATAGCAAACAATGCCTAATCGGTGACCAATGATCCCCATGATCTCCTTTTTCTTATGTTAATTGAGAGCTTATTTGATGAGATAACCACCTGTCAGTGACTATTCAGGGAGGTCTAATCCCTCCTGGCCAAACTAGTGCAGTGGGGCTTTAATGTTGCATAATTTGCTGTACTTTGCAGAAAAGGCAAAATTAGAGAACACATCTTTTTGCTCACCACTTTCATCCTGTTCTGGTGACAGCTTATCTCTGCTTGCTTTCATCTCATCTACATCTTTACCTTCATCAAGATCTGTAAGATAAACAAAAATGATGTATCCTTTCATGTTTAAAGGTAGGCGTTACTACTGCAGCTAGAAGGGATTAGACCACACAGCGAGCCAACAAGGTCACTGTGACAGGTGGCTATCTCATTAACTCAGCTATCATTTAACATAAGAAAAAGAGGATCATGGGGGACCAACAGGCACCAATTTGGGAAGTTTTCTATATAGAGGGAGCAAGTAGCTACAAGTAGGACAGTGTGCCTTTAAGAAATGTTCATGGTTGAACTTTTATCAACCATAGTAGTTGTTAATGTGATGAAATTATAAAGGTTATCCTATTGTACCTGTACCAAAACACAAGGATAGATTTTCTTGTAAATTCAAAGCAGTAATGATGGACTGATTTATTGAAAGGTCACTATATCGGTGTAAGCTGGTACTTATTCAATTCAGTCTGGTATAGTTTGCACCGTCCAGCGACGTATCCACTCGACCATGACACCTTAAGGAAGGCATATGTAGGCTAATTCAACTTTGCCCTTTTAAAACACCTAAAGATGAAGAAGCAACAGATAAATTTATGAAATGTTCTCCATCAGGTCTAAGGTGTCATTTTTCTGGAACATACATCTCCTACATGTAAGTTTATTCTCTCACTCTGAAAATGTGTTATATTACTTGGTAAATTGCAGTGCATGCATGGAATAGTGAAATGCAAGAGTTGTGCTTCATCTACAATGTTACACCAATGGTTCAAATGTAGTGCGGGCATCTATGTCCAAGGTATGTGGTGTCCAGTACACTACCAAATATTGTCCAGTTTTAACACATCAGGTTTTGTCTGATCGAAGTTCTGATACTTCAGATTATACAATCTTCAGTTACATAAGAGTCTAAGATGAATGAGCATGCCAATGAGCATAAAATAATGCATATAAAGCAAGCAATGGTAACAGCTACGTTCATTATACAGCATATATGATGTATCACAAAGTACACAAGAAATCATGCAAACATAAGGCAGAAATATGATTCAAAATTATATTTTGTGCTGAGGTGATATGACCTGAAGTGACTGACCATGTTTATTGTCCTACATAGCTTTCTGTAACCTATCAAAATGGTTTAATTGGTTGAAAAACCACAGGAGTTGTGTTTTAGGTGAAATGAGTTGTTTGGCATTAAAACAAAAATTCATGGCATCAAATGCATCCTGGATATTCCCTAGAATGTCTAACAGCTCTTGAGAAAAAGTTACTCACTCCACATTTTACATAACCCCTTTAAAGTAGTCAAACATTCATACTGGAATATCTTACTTGTTAAGCTTTGGCTCAATACTGAACATCTACCATATCTTGAGAAATCTTATAGTTTGTTATACAGCCTCTGGGTAGCATCTAATTTCTTTTCAGACCTTCCAAAAAAGTATTTGAATACAATTTTCAAAAAGATAATTAGGACTACTAATGCATCCTGGAATGTCTTACCTCTAAACCTTTAAATCAATGAAATCAATGGACATACATATCTTCAGAGGCATTTCCTCCATTGCTGCCAACCCTTATATATCATTATAATTTTGGTATTCCAAGAAAAAAAATTGGTAAATGCATGCATTCAAATATGCCTCATCTACGAACCCTTCCATCAAATTCCTGGGGGCATTTCACAGAACTTGTCATCAGTGACAAAGACAATTTTTGTTATAAGCTACTGAAATCCTTGCTTCTGATTGGTTATCAGCAAATTTGTCACTGATTTTTGTCATTTGTCATTGAAAAAAGGCTTTGTGAAACAGGTCCCTGCACAACCTCTAAATCATCCAGAGGCATTTTCTTTGATTGTCATCAACCCTTTACAAAAATTGTTGGTTTAGTATTGAATGAGTTAATGAGAGTATCACATGCTTTCAGACATACATGTATCTCACCTATTAACCCCTCTGCCCAATATTGTATCTACAAACCCTTCCACCAAAATTATTCAGGGGCATTTCTTTGATTGTGATCAACCCTTTACAAAAAATTGTTGATTTAGTATTGAATGAGTTAATGAGAGTATCACATGCTTTCAGACATACATGTATCTCACCTACAATGTATTAACCCCTCTGCCCAATATTGTATCTACAAACCCTTCCACCAAAATTATTCAGGGGCATTTCTTTGATTGTAATCAACCCTTTACAAAAAATTGTTGATTTAGTATTGAATGAGTTGATGAGAGTATCACATGCTTTTAGACATACATGTATCTCACCTATTAACCCCTCTGCCCAATATTGTATCTACAAACCCTTCCACCAAAATTATTCAGGGGCATTTCTTTGATTGTTATCAACCCTTTACAAAAAATTGTTGATTTAGTATTGAATGAGTTAATGAGAGTATCACATGCTTTCAGACATACATGTATCTCACCTATTAACCCCTCTGCCCAATATTGTATCTACAAACCCTTCCACCAAAATTATTCAGGGGCATTTCTTTGATTGTCATCAACCCTTTACAAAATTGTTGGTTTAGTATTCAAAGTGTTAATGAGAGTATCACATGCTTTCTGACATATCTCACCTATTAACCCCTCTGCCCAATCTTGTACATCTTCATACACCGTGCACACCACAGGGTCTGAACCAAGAAAGAACACAGAAGAGAGAACACTGCATTAGGACCCAGCCAGCAAAGAGAAAACCATGCTACCAAGCAGTGCGGGCTAGGAATTGTATACCAAGACATTGTGTGTCCGGACAGGTTGGGTGTCCAGACAGTGGATTTAAAACAGCAATTTGAAGAAGTTTGTAGAAGTTCACATGCAATATTTCATAAATCTTAGGACCCAGCAGAGAGAAAACCATGCTACCAAGCATTTTGGGCTAGAAATTGTATACCAAGACATTATGGCCCAAATTCACAAAGGAGGTTTGTGGAAAAACCTTGGTTTGAAACGCGTCGAAACGCGTCATATGACGCACATAAACCTTGGTTTGTCGACAAACCTCCTATGTGACTTCGGGAATGTGTGTTCGGACAGGTTGAGTGTCCAGACAGTTGATTTAAAATGGCAAATTTGAAGAATTTTACATGCAATATTTCATCAATCTTTTAATGATTAGACAGTATCATAAAAGAATAATATTTGTCATGGTTAGTGCTATTTGATGCATATTTTTTTGTGAAATTCAAAGGCAAAAGAATCAGGTTTATTTTTGTAAAGCGTCCGAACACACAAATCCCCATCATCACAAGCAATCAGGTTATACAAAGTATCGCTAAAAATATGCACCGAGTTAGAAGAAACTAGACATGCCAATAATCTATGCTTCTTACGTTCTTATGCAAAAGTCTATTTGCTGTTTAAGGGCAGGACTGTGTTTTCTTGCAACTGATAAATAAAATGACTGTGAATTGATAAAATTGGCTACATGTGAATCTAATCAAACTATGATATAGTGTATATATACACGTATATGTGTACAGTATATTTTCCCTTTCTATTAAGCAAGTGTTTGCATGCACTGAACACTGTGTACACCCAATGGAAGAAAAACAAAACATGAAAGCCGAATGATATGACACAAAGGAGGTCTTGAATATGCATATACTGCAAAATCAGAAACTTTTATATATGTTTAATGTCAGCTGTTTCCACAGCAACAAATATCTTAAGGAATACAGCACATAAAAGTTTCTGGTATTACGTTATATGAAATGAAGAATGATGCATGCTGTGTGGTAAATCACAAAATTTAAAGTCTGAACTGTCTAACATCTAATGGATATATTTACCACATAAACGGGGATTAGAACATAAAGCAACGACATAAGTATTTAACTCATACCACCCAACAGACCTTCATGCTAGTACCTGATTCTGTGCATGAGATGCTTTGAGAATTCTCCAAAGACTTATGTACACCATGGTAGTGTTTTAAAAAACCATTATAAGTACATGTATAACTACAGGTGTTCGTACCTGGTACAGCTGTATCTGCTAGTTCATCATCAGAATCGGCTTTCAGGGACCAGGAATGCTTACTGGTGCTACCGGTCAATCTGATATCATCATCCTCATTGTCCAGTAGGACCAGGTCTTCAGATCCTTTCTTAGGAGTACTCGGAGCCTTCGAGGGTCTGGTAGACTTGATAGCTGCAGAAAGTAAATGAAAGTACCATCTCTAAAAATATAATAAAACTGAAACTTAAGTCAGGTCTTTAGATTCTTTCATAGGAGAACACGGAGCCTTCGAGGGTCTGGTAGACTTGATAGCTGCAGGAGGTATTAAAATAAAATTATCATTTCTAAAAATGTACTCAACTAAAACTTAAGTCAGATCTTTAGATCCTTTCTTAGGAGTACTTGGAGCCTTCGAGGGTCTGGTAGACTTGATAGCTGCCAGGGAAAAAAATAATAATTATTTTTCGGGGGCTACTTTTCAACCTTGCATGCATGAAAATAACATTCTAAAATTTGTTTTGCATTGAACTCTACGCAAATTTACAGGGGCTCTTTTAGGCATTTCGGGGGCTAATTCGCCCCGAGCCCCCGTGTATTTTTTTCACTGATAGCTGCAGAAAGTAAATGAAAGTTCCATCTCTAAAAATATAATAAAACTAAAACTTAAGTCAGGTCTTTAAATTCTTTCGTAGGAGTACACAGAGCCTTCGAGGGTCTGGTAGACTTGATTGCTGCAGGAGGTATTAAAATAAAATTATCATTTCTAAAAATGTACTGAAACTAAAACTTAAGTCAGGTCTTTAGATTCTTTCGAAGGAGAGCACAGATTCTTTGAGGGTCTGGTAGACTTAATAGCTGCAGGAGGTAAATAAAATTACCATTTCTAAAAATGTACTGAAACTAAAACTTAAGTCAGGTCTTTAGATTCTTTTGTAGGAGAAAACGGAACCTTCGAGGGTCTGGTAGACTTGATAACTGCAGGAGGTAAATAAAGGTAGCTAAAAATCCCTCCCCCCCCCCCTTTGTCTGATGAAGGTACTCTGTAGATTATTTCATGTGTCTCATCCCCCTCTCTCTGATGAAAGTACTCTGTAGTTTTTTCATGTCTCCCCCCCCCCCTCTTTCTTTCTGTCTGATGAAGGTACTCTATAGATTATTTCATGTCTCACCCCCCCCCCCCCTCTCTCTCTGTGATGAAAGTAATCTGTAGATTTTTCATGTCTCGACCCCCCCCCCCCCCCTCCCTTGAACATTGAAACAAACAATAATACCTGTACAATGTAATATTTCTGTAACTGATAAGGTGCTGGACAGACAGTAATGGAAGTGAAATATTGCTGCATGATGCTTTTATGACACAAGTACTGGGGGGTGTTTCACAAAGATCCTAAGTAGAACTTGATTCTAAGTTGGACTTAACAATTATGGAAAGGCGTTAGCATGTAGGAAAATATTTTGTAAAAGGTATTTAAAATGGCACAAAATGTTGATTCAAATCATTCATATTTTCTAGTATCAAGGAGATGTCATGTTCTTGATGTGGAATTTATTAAAATTCTAACATACTTCAATTTCTGCTTTTGAATATATTTCATTTTAAGGCTACAAATGGCTCTCCATAATTTTTAAGTCTAAAGAGTTAAGTTCTACTTAGGTTCTTTGTGAAACACCCCCTGGTGTCGTCAAGATGCTCCTTGTACAAATCGGTACATATCAAATTTCGCAATGAGTATAGGTGTGCTATCATTACATTAGTCACTACATGTACTAATAAAATAATTTCAACAAAAATAAGCATCCTTTATATGCTTTTAAAAACTTAATTAATATCTATACAAAAATAAATGACTGACCTCTCTGTATTGCAGAACCGAGTCTAGACTTTCTAATTGCAGCTTTCTTCGCTGACGTCTTAGGACCTGAGAAAGGATGGATAAATAAGTAAACCAAAAATACATGTAGTATGGCAAAATATTCATCTTAACCCTTACTGTACTGGGCTATTTTGAGCACCCACTGACTGGGGGGGGGGGCCTGGAGGCCCCCCCCCTATGATCTCGGCCGTCGATTGTCCGATGAACACGAAAATTTGCATGTTTGTAGATATTTACGTAAGGAACAAGATGGTATAATTAGTTTTTTCCGAATATGCAAATTTTTGTCGTTAGCCTAATTAATTATGCAAAATGCGCTAATTTTATGCATTTTACCGAAAACGTGTCAAACTCCACGTTTTGAATGTTGAAACTCATTATTCATATGAAACTTCTTTTCTAACACAAAAGAGTTATTTTAATGTAATTAATAATGATAATTTATGCAATTTTTGATGCGATTTTCATTTTTTTTTTTTTTTTTTTGATGACATGCGCATACTAATTGTTATGTAACACCTTACAGCTATATCTGATTTTGACGAAAATGGTATCAAAATGTGCGTAAGACTTGAGGGAAAAAAGTCATGAAACGACAATTCAAAATTCCAAGCGGTTGCAGCGCAATCTCCGAAAATGTCGAGGGGGGGCCTCCCAGGCCCCCCCCCAGTACAGTAAGGGTTAATGCATACCTTTTAAACAAAGGTTGATCTTAACAATATGAAAGCTTGCCTGACATAGCAACAAGTAATGTATGCAGACTGGATTCCAGTATTCTAGAAGTGTCGTAATCGAGTGGTTTAAGCACTTGACCTGAAATTCGGCAAGGCATTAATCTACATTTGCCACACTCGACCCAGGCGAGGTAAAGGGGAACCTGGCAGGGATTAATTCCTTGAAAGGGTAGAGCAATGTAATGGCAGCTAGGCTAAAGCCGGGTTATATTGGAATTGTCTAGGTAGACGGCGCTATAAAATGCCTATTATGATGATGATGATTGTAGTTCATTCATTAAAAACAGGTTAACGGATTAACTCGCCACTTGTTCCACAGTAAAGAAACATCCATAAACTTGAATATGTTAGTAAACAGGGGGTGTTTCATAAAGCTTTTTGTAAAGTTATGCATGACTTTACGAACGACTTGTATATCAAAAGCCAATTGGGATGCTCAATCATTATTAAATACATCAATTAAAGTTGAAGTGTGCAGATGTAGATTAACATTCTCATGATAACAAACATTTTTAATACAAAGTATATTTTTTGCCATAATAAATTGAGGTTATTCAAAATATCAGAAAAAACTTTGGGCATCCTATCTGGCACTTCATATACAAGTGGTTAGTAAAGTCATGGGTAACTTTACGAACAGCTTTATAAAACACACCCCCCCCCCCCCCCCCCCCCCCCCCGTTCTATTTACTCTGTGCAATATCCTGATGTGACTGTGGCAGAGCTTACAATTACGACATACTTACTTGTGTCTGTTTGGCTCACTGCTTTCTCCAGTAGGTCCTTGCCTTGCTTCACTGATTTCATATCTAATGCATGAGTGATCAAGCAGGAAAGGAAGGAGAAAGAAAACAAATGTTAAAGGGAGCCTTTTCACACACAAGTAAAATTCTTTAAAGCTCATTAGTTTAAAGTGCTAATCAGCTTTACATACGACCTCATTCACACACAGAAATTTTGGTGCGATCGTTAATCGTTTTGTGATTACCTACTGCTCTTAAAATGGGCAGTAGTGCCATTGCGCATTGAAGGTCAGGTCATATCAAAGCGCACGCTCCATCCAGTTTAAACACGTATAACCGTTCACACACAAAATGTCAAGCTCTCTTGATACAGGCTTCGTATCTACAGCCTGCTTTGAACGGCGTATGAATCGCGACTTCGTATCTATCCAAACATCGTATAAACGATGTTCACACAGGGAAAATTTTCTTTAAAGCTGTTTAGTACTGTTGAGTTGAACAGTTTTAAACTAATCAGCTCTAGATACGATGAATTTTAGCTGTGTGTGAAAAGGCTGAGGGTGAGACAAGCGAGTATTTATAGGTGAGTACGGGAGGATGCAGGGGATTGGGGGAGGGGGGGGGGGGGGAGAAGGAACAACAATGTACCGGACTACAAATAAATGATATCTGTTAAATATATATAAGGCCCCAGGCCTGCGGTTCACTTTACTACAATAGCTGCTTCATGAGAGGGAACTGACAATCTATGGAGGCATCCTGTAACACTAAGGGCCTTAAAATCATTAATGTATAAACAGGTACTGTAACCATCTCTTGCAAGTTCGACCTTACACAACACTAACGGTCTATCATATCAGAGTATTGCCTCAGTCACACCTTTGTGTATTTGGTTTGCGTATTGCATTCATGGCAAGCCGTTTTAACATATATTCCTATTTCTTGATATCAAGAAATCAAATTCTTGATATCAAGAATTACCATTGCTTTACAACAGAAAATCATTTCTTGATATCGAGAAATAGGAATAAATGTTAAAACGGCTTGCCATAAATATGCAGCAATACACAAGCCAAATACGCAAAGGTGTGACTGAGGCATTAGAGCGGTACGTAGAGTGGGCCAACAGTGTAGGTCAGAGCCGGCAACCTCTCTATAAAGATCACCTGTGGCCAGGTATATTGCTGCCCTCAAGAAAGAAATGTGTGTTGTAGAACCAGTCTAGAGAGAACACCCGTCTTCAGTTGCCACTTTTTTCTGTTTCCCTTGGGTGGCCTTAAAGGGAGTCACTCGTCAGTTTCCATGTGCAGAAGGCCATAATTTGCTGACACCAGACTTGGTGGGAATACCATTAATGGGAGTACAAATCTGCACACAGCAAACCCATTGGCCAGTCAAGAATTCCCCCCTAATACGGAGAATACTTGAGAGTCTTCGGGTGACGGAAAAGCAAAGCATTACATAAGATCTAATGGTCATAAAACTGAAGGCTAACCCTGGTGATTGACAACACCTGTTATTGGGTAAACACCCGTCTTTAATAGACAGGTTTGACTGTACTTACAATCAGAAACATCAGCATTCATGTTGTACGTCGAGGGAATTCCGTAACGACTCTGGTGAACATACTTCAGATGACGAGTCAGGAACTCTACTGATGTAAGAAGTTGGCCGCAGATGTTACAGAGGTGAGTGTCTCCTGTGGCAACTGCAGAGGAAAATACAAACCAGGGGGTGTTTCACAAAGATCCTAAGTTGAACTTATCTCTAAGTTGGACTTAAAACTTATGGAAAGCCGTTAGCATCTGTGAAAGTATTTTGTAAAAGTTATTTTACAAAGCATACGATGTTAATTAAAATCATTCTCATTTTCTATTATCAAGGAGATTAGATGTTCTTGATGTGGAATTTATGAAAAGTCTAAAATACTTGAATTTCTGCTTCTGAATATATGTTATTTTAAGGCTTCAAATGGCTCTCCATAATTTTGAAGTCCAACTTGGAATTAAGTCCTACTTAGGATCTTTGTGAAACAGCCCCCTGAAATGCCACCTCAGGATATGAATCATTAGAAAACTTATATTGCGTAGTTCCACAACGAAACATTAAACTACTATACAGAGAAAAGGAGGAAAAGAATAACAATCTGGAAAGTTATTCTCAGGGCACATCACTAGCTGTGGTGGCTGTATCCCGCAAACAAAGTTTGATATATCAGTCTGTGTTTCATACATCACCAAAATGGGTTTTTGAGAAAGTGGTAATACAGTCAAACCTGCTTTAGTGACCACCTGTCTACAAAGACCACTGTCTACAGGGACCACATTTTTTGTTTTCCTTGAAAATGGTGTCCCATTGAAACATGTACTAAAGGAACCTGTCTACAAAGACCACTTTTTGTGTTTCCCTTGAGCGGCCGCTGTAGACAGGTTTGACTGTACTGTATTTGTACAAAAATTAAACATTATTTGTTTGTTTGTTTACCTGTCGAAGGTTCCGTCTCAACGCCCAGCTTCCTGCCGTACTCCTCTCCGTAGAAGGTCAAGAGTTCAGTGCCAGCCTTGATAGGTTTGTAAGCTATGTAGAAGATATCTTCACCATCCTGGTACGACCTCAAGTTCTGTTCCGACTCCTTGCAGGCACAGTTGACGTAGCGCATCCAGTTGCTCTTGGTCTCATCCTCAGCATCCACACAATGGATGAGTTCTCCTTGGCCTCCATCACTACGAATCTGGGATAAGAATAACAAAGATGTTCAAGAAATCATCGGAGAGAGGCTACAAAATGGACGACAAGAAATGGAATTCATAGAACACAAAAATTTGCTCTTAGTCTCATCCTCAGCATCCATGCAATGGATGAGCTCTCCTTGGCCTCCATCATTACTAATCTGGGATAAAAATAGCAAAGACGTTCAAGAAATCATCGGAGAGTGGCTACAAAATGGACGACAAGAAACAAAATTCATAGAAGACAAAAAGGTACAGGGCAACAAGGGAGTCGTAAGTCTTGCGCCACCTTGACTTGTCCACATCGTCTAGACCTTGGTCACTCTGCAAAACCTTACACCACTCACATACTCAAGTCAACAAAACAATGTCTGAACAAATATTAAATGTTTCAGGGCAACAATTTTTGTAAATTTTTTTTGAAGTGTGAATTCTGATTCACTTATTTCACAGCATAAAAATTGTCATACATCTGGGACCCGTTTCACAAAGCCTTTTTTCAATGACAAAAATCAGTGACAAAACTGTTGATAACCAATCAGAAGCAAGGATTTTAGTAGCTTATAACAAAAACTGTCATTTGTCACTGATGACAAGTTTTGTGAAACGCCCCCCCCCCCCCCCCCCTGAACCACGAAACGACATTTGCAAATATTTCTTGCGAGGGTAAGTAATGAATGTGGATCAATCAATAGACTTACCTCCCATGCATATCCACTTTTGTAGCCTGCAATCTTGTCCACCTCGACTCCTTCGTACGGCCCGAAGCGAGTCCCTTCTTCAAGGTCTCTCTCTGCCCAGACCCCTAGGCCAGCGGCAGGGATGCCGGAGGCACGAATCCCCAGCCCTTCAGGCAGCGTCTTGGTGGCTCGGTCTGGAGTACCATCGGGTGCAGGGGTATCCTCAACATTGGATGTGACCTTTGGCTTGGTCTTCACCACCTCTGGGATTAGGTAGGCACTGATCGAAACGCCTAAAAAGAAAATGGTGAACATGAACTAGTCATATACCTTGCCAGTATCCAGGTGAGGTGAGGTGCGGTAAATGGGTACCTGGCAGGAATTAATTCCTTGAAATGCTGAAGTCTGTAATGGCTGCTAGGCTAAAGCGGAGGTAATAATTAGTGCGCCTCAGAATAGAATTTCTAGATAGACGGGGCTATAGAAATGCCTATGATTATTGCCAGAATATTTTTATACTAAAATGAAGCTCCCGGACTTGACTTGAATTTAACATCAGTACAATCATGTTTTCTACACCTGATAACTATTGGTATTCAGTCATTCACACAAATGTGGTTGACACTGATCTTCTTTCCTTTCCAATTCAAGGACCATATATATGCCTCTTGGTCTTCAGAGTATCTAATGCTCTACATGTGTTTAACAGTCTGTATCAAACAAATCCTGGATTAGAACAGATTCTTTTGGTTCTGTCAGTCATTCAATATCAATTATCTACTATACCAAGCTGAATCTGTGTTTCGTTTTATGACGACCACTAAGTAACAAACTTTTCAGTTTGCAGCAAACTACTTAAATGTTCAGACAGACCATCATACTACAAATTAAGAACTTTTATCAATCACAACAGTTCACTTCACGTACAATTGCAAGACACACAAGCAGGAAAGTAAAGGGAACACAAGAGTAAGAATTTGCTGACAGACAATTAATTTTACCTTGTTTCTCTTTGTCCTTGTCCATGATTGCACAAATTCACACCGATTTCTCAAGAGTTGTAAGTTCGCATAGATCTACAACAGAGAATAGAACATAGGGTGTATTAGACAATTTTAATAGCTTGACATACCGTATATCATAAAATCACATGTCTTTTATTAGTTTTATACTTATCTCATTCACAAACATTTCCTAGTTTAACTGTACAACCTATTTTCTACTCAACAATATTTCCCTGATGAGGAATATTCAAACTTTCAAGGTATGTATGTACAAAGGTACATGTACAGTACATTATATACAATGTACTGTGCGAGGAAAACCAGAAACCCCCTCATCAGTTTTAACTAGGTAGTCGTAACCACTAATAAAGCAGGGTTTGAACTACTATCAGACTCAACAGACTGAGTATTGACGTTGTACACATCACAGCACCATACATGTACATGGAACTGTAATACAGTATTGTAGATTTTTTTGCTGCCTGCAAGAAAGGCCGTTACTGCCATTGACAGATACACAGCCTTTTCACACACAGCTAAAATTCATCATTTCTAGAGCTGATTAGTTTAAAGATGTTTAACTCTACAGTTTTAAACATCATTAAAGAAAATCTTCCCTGTGTGAACATCGTTTATACGATGTTCGGATAGATACAAAGTCGCGATTCATACACCCCTCAAAGTATAGGTCAACGTTGCCTGGTGCCTCCTGAATTTGTTCAAGGTCAACTGTCGGTCAAACCGGAAGCAGGCCATGATAATGACATTATAGCAGTATTTTTTTTCCCTGCGTTATAGAATCATGATTGAGATCTCTGTTGCGTTTCAATCCATTTTTAGCGCCCATGATTTTGTAGAATCACGATACAAAACGCATCTTTTTCAGGGTTTCATGTTTGCGTTTTGAAACTTGTACATGGTATTTCCACCAAGTCTGGTGTCAGCGAAATATGACCTTGTCGTGCACATGGAAATAGATGACCCACTCCCTTTAAAGGGATCCGGTAACTTTTACTCAGATACAGATAACACGTAGGGCCATGCATCTCAGATTTAACATTGTTAAACGATGCCTTCAAGATTGAAAGATCTAAAAACTGGAGAACAATCTAGTAGACTCTGCTCAATTCAAAGGTGCTTTATAAAGACATATTACAGATAAAAACAAGAAATATTTAAGAATTAATTAAAGTGTTCTTTTTATGGGGGGGGGGGGGATAATAGCTAGCTACATTTTTCAATCAAATAAAAACCAAAAACCTACATGTTGACTACAAAAAAATAGTTCTGAAGCTACCATAGCAATTTACCGGTATAGAGAATTCCTAATTTCCTTTGCATGGCTGCTATCTGCATTTGTTTTCCCTATCCAAACTGGTAATGCACACAATTATGGGCAGGTATAGTTAGTGCAGATATTAGGGCTCTATCTTTCTGCTCGTAAATGCATTTCGGTAACATTTCTCTGACATACATGTAATGAGTGCACATTCAAACAGAGCCCACTATTGCAGCTGCATGCAGATCGGCAGTTTTCCTTAATCTCAATAATGATTGATGATTTCGCAAGCAGCTAGCATATTCTTGTGAGAATTGCAGAGGTCACCTGGGTAATTTCTGAGGCTGCAGTCCACGAAAGCAGCAGCTAGCCCATGAGATTAACAGTATACCCGACCAACAGCTTCCAAGACTGATACCCATGAGACCGACAGCCTATGAGTTCAACAGCCTATGAGACCGACAGCCTATGAGTTCAACAGCCTATAAGACCGACAGCCTATGACCAATAGCCAATGAGATCGGCAGCCCACTAGACAGATACCCATGAGATCAACAGCCTTTGAGACCGACAACCTACGAGACCGACAGCCTATGAGTCCGACAGCCAACTAGATCAACAGCCTATGAGACCAAAAGCCAACGAGATCGGCAGTCCACTAGACCTATACCCATAAGATCAACAGCCTTTAAGACCGACAACCTACAAGGTCGACAGCCTACGAGACCGACAGCCAACAAGACCGCAGCACATTGAGAACAATAGCCAACTAAACTGATACCCATGAGATAGATAGCCCAAGAGACCGACAGCCCATGAGACCGACAGCCCATAAGACCGCAGCCCATGAGACCGGCAGCCCATTAGACTAATATCCATGAGATCGAAGGCACACAAGACCAATGTCCATGAGATACTCAGTCCACTAGACCGACAGCTAATGAGATCAGCAATGTCGGTCCAGCAAACCTGAACAGTTGTCAGAAGGCCCACAAAGGCCGGGACATTTGACCATAATTGTGTACTCCAATTATCAAAGGGAAATATGCATAGGCCTACATGTAATTGAATTTTAGGTAGAATTTTGGAGGGTTGAGTAAATGAGAGAAACTGATCGTGAAAGGAGTACAGTATATACCCCCCCCCCCCCCCCCCCCAAAAAAAAAAAAAAACTTCCTCATGGCCGAGATCCTGGTGTTGGTAATGTTCAACTTTACGTACTATTGCATGTCATCTGGTCATTGGCCATCATTATCTCTTTTATCATTTTTTTTCCCAGACCCAGACATTGACACGTTTAGTTGACTCATGCCAATTAGGCCATTAAGTTTAAACCCTGTCCCCTGTCCATCGTCCATTCAATCAAGGCGCTCGGCCCACATTTCTAAAACAACACAAGTCATGAAAAATTAGTCAAGGGCAGGCCATCGCCTAGGCCCCCAAGCTTGCATGCACTTCACACGACTCACAATACACAGCATCATGTATTGATCTACACCATGCACATGCAGCTACAGCGAGCAAGATAGTGCGAGAATGCATGCATGCCAAATTAGCTCTCCACACAAACTAGACGAAGCCTCTATAGCACACACACATATTGTGCCATACACAAAAGCTATATCGTCGGACTTCACACACGCTGTCTGTACACGGGTTACAATGTTCAATCGCATACCATACACAGAAATAGACGACAAATTGAATCTCACATGGCCAACACCCAAAAATGTCCATTTAAATTCTAATACTTACCGGCTATACGAAAAATTATTTTATATCACGACATCGGGGAAAGAAAATGTACATGCCAACGATACAATTCCGGGAAGATTTTGACAATTGTAAAATCCGAAATTTTCAGTACAAAAATGAGATGTCCATTTCGGATTGCACGCGTTCACTCCCGTTCTCGATACGTACGTAGTTAATGTACAGAGGTACGTATAAATATAGCACTGATGCTGCGCTGCGGAAGAAAAAGCAAGCCAATCATCGAGTCTTGAATGACATGCGCATGCGCTTTTATCGTTCTGGGCTCGCCTTGAGCTGTGGCTGTGTCGATCTCTCTTTGTCCTTCTATATTTTCCGTCTGATGCGTGCATGGCTAGTACCCTAATAGATGGTGCATGCTGAACAAGCAGATACCACACACACACACCGCACACATGTTGTTTTCGCGGGGAAAATACAAAGTCTGCGCTCAAAGCAAGCTATATAGGTCTTCATGATAACCGCGAAGAGTTCATCCACCCCGCTTACTGCATCCATGGGGTGGGGTATATGGTCGTTGTGTCAACTCAATATCAGAGACTCAGATTGGGGCCAGGCTACGGAAAGGAAATTTTCCCAAAAGTTATTTTGGTATTTATGCAGATAATAGGTCTACAAACAATTATATATATATATATATATATATATATATATTTACCATACATACATTGAAACCCAGCTAGATATGTCTATTTTGGCGCGCGATCCATGGAGCCCAGCTACCATTTGGAGCCTACGGGACAGGATATGTATTTATGTTATATATTTATATATATATATATATATATATATATAGGTCATACATAAAGGGGCACCCTTGACATAATGTTCCCGATGATGATCTTTAAAGTTTTCATTGGACCTTTGACGCAGTTCTCCGTCATCACGTATAGACCTATGTTATATGGGTCATAATTCATGTAGCTTGTGCGCATCACTAATTAGGGAGTCTCCCCGAATGATCACCACCAAAACATAAATTGCATATTATACTGTAGGCTACAGCTAGTACATGCAGTATGCCATTCGATCGATATCCACCCAAATACAACTATAATCATACTAATAATTCTAGATGTAGTTTGTTAGATTTTTGTTCTCTTAAATTTTTTAAGTGGCTCATAATTATGCTTAAATAACTAATTGGCCATCCTTGACTTTTTGTAGGACCAATATTATAGCCATGTCCCCACCCCCTTCGACAGGTTCCTGCCATGCCATACAACACACACAATGAGATATGCCAACTAATGCACGGTAGGTTTATAGTCATTCCCATTGAGGAGGTACCCCTTTAGGAGCCCTTAACTGAGCTAGATTTTGCTCCCCTCTCAGATTTTCTTCCAATGTCAGCTTACCAATGTTTAAAATCACCCAGCACCATGCAATCATTGAGTTACCGACCCCAATAAACGACTCTATAGGATTCAGAATTGCATGCATTACGGTTCGACATTTCTAGATTCAAGTGGGGGGGGGGGGGCATATCGGCCGCCATCGTCCCCTTTTTTGGCGGCAGATTAAAAGGGGGTGAAAAGAGAAAGCGACGGAAAAAACAAAGGGTAAAAGAAAGAGCAAAAAGAGGAAAAAGAGAAGAAGATATGAAAAGGATAGAGAGATAGACAGACAGAGAGACATTTTTTTTTTAATCGTTACCCTGCATGAGCAACAGGTCTGGAACTCCACCCCACTGCACTGCAAGCTACGCGTAATGCATACATAAATGTATTAATCAGTGGCGGATCGCGGGGGGGGGGGGCAATTGACCGCGGCCCCCTTTATTTCGGCCTAAGTGGGGGAAATAATAAGGGGAGAGCGAAAGAAAAAAAATGAAAAGATAGATGGAGAGAGAACAGAGAGCAGAAAGGGGAAAAAACCAACATGAAACTTAAATGTACAAATTATTGTTTTGCCGATGGGTTGGCACATGTGCCTTCAAAGACATCGGACGAAATTAGAACAGCAGGGGGGGGGGGGGGGTATGAAATTATCTCTAGGGAGAAAGAGAGATGATTTCTAACGAAATGTGTGAATTTCAAGGAGATCTATTTCAAGGGATGAGTAGGCCTAATATAATTTATATCACTTATGAGTGCTATCTTGAAGGTTTTGAATTGATAAGACTCGAGGGCATGTCTCTTGGTCTTATCCATTGAATCCCAAGACAACCCTATATGTTGTATAATTGACTTTTTGGGAGAGAATATGCGTTTCCATTGCTAAAGACGGCTATCTTGAAGGTTCTAAATGTGTAAATCTCGAGAGCGTCAGAGGGTCTGCAGTAAGGGCCCCCGACAGGGTTCTCTCTGGGGGTCTCTGGGGATCTCTGGGGGTCTCTGAGGGTCTCTGGGGCCCTAATACTGGCCCTTGAACCCCACTCAGAAGGGCTCGCATGCAGCGCGCTTCGCAAACGGTGCCATCGCCCCTCCCCTCCCCCTTTTTGGGGTAAGTCCTGGATTCGCCGTTGCTAGCAATACATTGGGCTCGAATTTCCTCGAAACGAAATGTATCGGGTCTCAATGGTTATGAAACCATAATAATCTTGTACAGGAAGTAGCTATAGGGTCAAAATACAAAAGGATCTCATATGGGATGATAGCGATGGATTACAGAAACTTGCCAAGATATCTCTTGTTCGAAAAACAGTAAAAATTTTTTTTTTTAAATGAAACAGAAGGGGGAATACTAAATAATAACGTCCATAATTTTCTCTCCAAATTCGTTACACTCTCTTAAAGAAACTAAACAAAATCCTTCACCCTCGACAATATCTGATTGTATTCTTATCATTTTATTTAATAATTATATTTTTTTGGACACACGAGACCAATTCGGCTTTTGTTTACATGGATCCTTTCCATGTACATAGCTTTGTGTATAGGCCCAACGGAGAACTGACAGTACTCTCTATATAGCGACAAGCAAGATTGCCCGAGGATTTTTGAGATTAGACTGAGTTACAATCAGGTTTATGGTTAGCGAAAATGACCATTGAGCGATTGTTGCCGGGCCGTATATGCATTTGTGCCATCGATTTTCTTTTTAATATCAAGGATAATGGCTCACCTATGGCCATATTAGCGTTGTCATTTCGATTTTGGGTTTTGGTTTTCCTTCGACGGAGGGACAGAGCCGAAAGCCGGAGGAAGGATCGGGTCTTGGGGGGCGGGGTGCTAGGACAAATTGACAATGATTGTAACAATAAACCAAGGGTACCTCACCAGAAGATTTGAATGGAAGAGACACCGTTTTAAAAGATAGGACCGTTGTTTTGTTATTTTTTGCTGTTGCTTTTTTCCCTATACCCCCTTTAGCTCGCAGCACACCCCTCCGAAAAAGTCGCTTCTATGACTTGTGTCTGCATCAACATGCAGAGTCTGTAGCATCATTGCATTTGTGAGAATCATCAAATGATTTTCTTGGATTGCTCTGTGGTTATACATTTTCATTAAAGATAAATGATAATTATGGCTAAATCTGGTTTGTGATCGGATTTCAGGTAGTCAACAGGGGCACAATCATGCCCTTCGCCAATAATTGTTATCTAGTTTGTCATAGCATAATATTGTAGGTACCTCGATATAGGCGAGAAAATGACACCCCTCCCATTCTCGCTAAATCGGGATCCGCGACTGGGCAGCTTGATCAGGAATTTAGGAATACTGATAGACCTGGGATAAATTATCTAGGGTATGTGTAGTACATTCAGTACATTCGGCACAATGTTGCCGACTTAAGGGTAAACCATTCATAGCACAACATAAGGGTAGTGTAAATGACGACTCAGATTGTCCACTGATTTACTGGGCCTTCAGTATTATTTTCGAGGTGCCCTTGAGGGCCTCGATGGGGGGGGGGGGGGGCAAGGGTGCTCTAGAGTTCTTCAAGAGAGGTGTAGCTGATGGTAATCAAGATTGAGGTGCTCTTGCGATGCACAGAGGTTTGATTGGGGTGCTCAGGAAGACAGGGCCTGTTATATATACCAGCGGGACGTTTCACAAAACTTGTCATCAGTGACAAATTACAGTTTTTTTTTATAAGCTACTGAAATCATTGCTTCAGATTGGTAATCAGCAAATTTGTCACTGATTTTTGCATTTGTCATTGAAAAAAGCTTTGTGAAACGCCCCCCTGGCGCACATGTGGTGCATACTCTGGAGGTTCTTAGGAAGCGGTCGAATTCTAGCCTACCTACTGGTGCTCGGGAGGTGTTCTGGAAGTGCCTTATTTGGTTATGCACATAGGATAGAAGTGTTCTGGGGTGGTAGATCTTGAGGTGCATTCACAGATTGAGGTGTTCTGGAAGTGCTCAGCTATTTAGGTGGTGCTCTGGTGGTATAGGATCAAATTAATTAAGTAATCTGGATCGATCGAGGTCCTCATAAAGTATTCTTAAATTGCTTGACCTGCTCAGGGGGAGCCCATAAAGACGTGTTCATGAGGGGTTCTGGAGATTCTCCGGAAGTGTTCTGTAGTAACGAAGTTCATTTTAATGAGATGCACAGATTGAATTTCTCTCTGGAGGTGCTCAGGATTTTTAAAATTTAAAATTTGAATTTTCATTTAATTTACTTACAGACTGATGTCTTAGCTCACAAATGTCACTGAACATAATAAGCTATATGCGTAACTCATAGAGAAAACGAATCCTGCTTCGATCGTGTATTATAAATTATAAATGCAATAACGTATGACCTCGATTTGTTTAAGTATCCGAGGATTATATACCAGGCCGCCATCCTTGTCAAGCTTTGCTTATGATGATTGCGGTCTCCTGCACTTTTCCAACAGAATAGTTCGGATAATACTTTAAATTTATGATTATATGTTATGGAAATATTAAGTTTCGTATTATGTAAAAAAAAAACATTTTGACATGCAGAAATTATTATTAATAATAATAATAATCCGGTTTTTTATATAGCGCTCAATACACCGATCCAACGATGTACCTAAGCGCTTTACAGATATATTATTGTTTGTTCATGTTGTATATTATACCTTACATTTATATATGTTATTTGTTATTCAGTTATAAAAATGCAGAAATCAAATCAAAATCAAATCAAAATCAAACTCATACGCCTTATAAATATGGGCCCGGCCTATTTCTCGAGATCTCCCCGGCCCCTCGACTCTTTCCTCGCCGGCCGCCCTCCCGGGGCCCTAACCGTCGACCCCGACTCTCTCTCTCTCTCTACTGGGACTGGTATCATACGATTCTCTATCTTAACCAGCATGATAACATAGTTGATAGGCAAACTCCACTGCGATTATAAATTGCAAAATGTATAAGTATATCATTTTATCCAATTTACGTACACAGTGAAAATATAAATCAAGGCTCTTAATTCAAAGAATGATTTACAACGAGTGGCTTATAGACCAGGCTGTGGTGTTGTGGTCTAGTGGATAAGTCGTCTGACTGGATCACAGGGTCCGCGATTCGAGTCCCCCAGCGACACTTAATGCCTTGCACTGCATGTGGCAGTTGTTAAATGGGTATGGATGATTTCCTTGAATGCTGAGCCGGGCAAATTATTCGGAGTACTTTGCGCTATATAAATATCCGATATCATTATTATTATTAATGAATAAACATGCAAATTAATAAGGGAGTTTACAGATAGCACATGGTACAAATGACCCCAAATATCCACAGATCTTTTACACATGGAGAAGTTCCACTTTGAGCATCTCAGAATAATAACTGCCAAAGTCCAAGATGTGCTTCATGAATACCTTTTGTTTGCCCCCTTGAAAAGAATACTTCCACCTGCAGGCGCGCCGGAAGCAGTTTGGGATTGGGGTGGCAAACATTCCAGGGGGCTCACCTTCCAGGGGCAGTGACGTAATGAGAAAAAACGTTCGGAAGGGGGGGGGGGGGCAGACGAAAAATCTGCATCACCACCAGTGTTCTAGGGGAAGGGAGAGCCCCCAGAAGCTTAGAGGTTTTAATATCTAACTACGGTCAGATGAGCATCCAGGGGCCCGCCTTAGAGCCCTTGGTGGGGTCCAGGGGGCAGAGCACCCGGAAGCTCAGGGGTTTTGGGTATTTAATTACGGTCAGATGAGCATCAAGGGGCCCGCCATAGGGCCCTTGGTGGGGTCCAGGGGGCAGAGCCCCCGGAAGCTCAGGGGTTTTTGGTATTTAATTACGGTCAGACGAGCATCCAGGGGCCCGCCTTAGGCCCTTGGTGGGGTCCAGGGGGCAGAGCCCCGGAAGCTCAGGGGTTTTGGGTATTTAATTACGGCCAGATGAGCATCCAGGGGCCCGCCTTAGGACCCTTGGTGGGGTCCAGGGGGCAGAGCCCCCGGAAGCTCAGGGGTCTTGGGTATTTAATTACGGTCAGATGAGCATCCAGGGGCCCGCCATAGGGCCCTTGGTGGGGTCCAGGGGGCAGAGCCCCCGGAAGCTCAGGGGTTTTTGTTATTTAATTACGGTCAGATGAGCATTTTTTATACCTTATTTGTAACACTGGCAGGTCACTTATTTCTATCTCTGTCTTTCTTTCTCTTTCTCTTTAACATACTTTTTCAAAAAGTGAGGGGGGGGGGGGGGGTCTCGAACCCAGCCACTTTGCAGACCATGACATAAAGGCTTCTAAATAAACGTATTTTTCGCCCGACTGTAATTTGGGAATTTCTTATTTTCCAACAAAGGCATAAGAAGGTATGACTTACAAACAAATGGAGAAAAAATACCGGAAAATCATGTCATAACAGCAACATTTGTAAATCACTGGTATCGAATAAGAAATACACCCCCCCCCCCCATCAGTACGCCAGCGTTCAGGGGCTCATGTCTTCTCACCCCTATAACAAAAAAACAGACACGCTTTCCCATTCTCGCACAATAATTGTCCACGACATGCGCGCATCGCTATTATAAAGACCTCCATTAATAAATACCGTATAGGTGGCATGCGCAATTCCTGTGAACTTTCCTTTTCTTTGAATGGAATTGTATATGTGATTTAATTCAGGTTTATCTTATTGTTATGTTCTTTTGGGTTAAAAATACAAACCATGTTTACTCTTTTACTGCTTTTTTTTTTTTTTTGAGGGGGGGGGGGGGCGTTTTTGGGGGGCAAAAATGCGTTTTGCCCCCCCACTTTTTTGATTGGGGGGGCAACTGCCCCCCCTGCCCCCCCCACTTCCGGCGCCTATGTCCACCTGCGTATCATAGAATGTACCGTTGGTGCATAAATGAATAATGTTACATAACTTTCAGGAGCGCATATCCAGTATTCATCCCTAGATCTGGTGGGTTTTACCTTTTTGGTTCAAATGACCTTTACCTACCCATGCGCAGATTGTATCTGTAAACTCCCTAATTATGAAGAAAGTTACCCCTCCCGCCTGCAGCCAAACCAGTCAAAACAAACCCAGGCCAAGGTCATCGACCTGTATAGTCTGTTTTGTCTGTGGTCGACTTGAGCATTGGCTAGATTTAATATCAGACTTTTATTATTATTGACAATCACTGATAGGATACTGAGTCAAAGCTTTTATGAAAAGTAATATAAATTTCTAATAGAAATAACGATCCTCCCTAATTTCTTAATTTTTTTTTGGAAAATTACTGTATCTTCTCTCCTATAAGATTCACTGATTTGAATAATGCATATTATTATGGCCTGAAACTCAGACTAAAATTTAATAACGCGCGCCGAATGGCACAACATGGCTGAGAAAAAGACTGACTTCTATTTTTGCCCGATTTGTCGCCAAAGTGATATCAGAGGAAGAAAGCACGTGTTCAGCAAGAAACATCAAGATCGCCTCATATTTGTGTTAGAAAAATTTGCATTGAAGGTGAGACTGATGTTGTTTTTGAGGTCGAAACATGGGATTGTGTTGTGTATTACTCATTCATTAATCATTGATCATTACTCATGAATTTATACTCGTGTGTGCGTGTTTTGAGCTGAGGCTGCATGCTGCAGCTGAACGCTGAACTGAGCTGAGCGTATTTAAAGTTAAACAAGGCCTAGTCGTAAAGCCAAAGGCTGCACTGCACTGCACTTCACTGCACTGTGAAGCGAGGCTGCAACTGTGAATCGAAGATGAGAATGTCGACTGAGCTGACTGAGTAAAGAGCTAACTATTAGAGAGAGTGGGTGTTGCACAAAAAAATTTGCGCATTGAGCGCTGTAGGAGTGGCGCCCAGTGAGTTTCGATTACAAGCTCCCATTCAAGCGCGTACTAATGTAGCCAGGATTTCATTTAGGGGGGCAGTAGTGAGCATGCGAAGCGTGCGAATCACTTACAGAGCGCGCTCCCTAGGGGGGTGGGTACAGGGAGGGGGGAGTTTCCCACGCTCTTTGACGTTTCATATTATTAAATTAGAGAAAGAAGATGAGACGTTGCACCGTTCTCGAATTTTCTTAATCCTTATCTAAATTCAGTTTCTTTTGACGTTTAATTAGAGAAAGGAGACGATTCGTTGTACCGTCCTCGACTCTAAATCCTTGTTTGAATCAAGTTCCCCTTTGCGCATAGCGCGTAATCTCTGACGTTTCATTCGATTATTAAAGAAAGTTGTACCATTCTCGATCGACTCTTAATCCTTGTCTGAATTCAGTTCCCCCCTATCCCGCGCGCGGTAGCTTTGACGTTTCATTAAATTATGAGAGAAAGAAGACTATTCGTTGTACTGTTCTCGACTCTATACCTTTTTCTTCCTATGTCCTCTTCCTTCTTTTTTTTCTCTCCTTTTTTTGGGCCGGCGTTTTAGGGGGGCGACAGCCCCCACCGCCCCCCTGGCTACGCACCGGCTCCCATTGGCTGATCCGCTCGAGTGGCTTCAAATTTAACTGAAAGAGGGCCTAGAGTTAACTTAAGCGTAACTTAAGTTCAACGGAAATGTCAATACTGTAATACATTATTATGTCACACCAAGGAGATTTTGACATGTCATGATATTTCAGTCAACTCAAAGCTCAAACCCTCTATTTGTTAGATTTTTTCAGCTTAAGTATTTCACTTAAGTTTATGGCTTACGTCTGCGTTTACAAAGACGATCCTCGTTTATGTGGATGATCCTTATTCTCGGACCAGCGCCCCTACTGGTTGTTATTTTTTATTTTTATAGATAGTCTATGTTTCAATCAGGTACATGTTGTTGCCTCCCCCCCCCCCCCCCTTACATAAAATTCTAACAGGGATTATTTCTTATTCGTTACCACTACCATACCAGTGATTTAAAAATGTTGCTGAAGTGACATGATTTTCCGGGATTTTGTTCACTTTAAAAAAAAATTAGATTACTTCTACCGTCTAGGTCTCTAGACTATACTTTTTTATGCATTTGTTGGAAAATGACAAATTCCCAAATTCCCAGTCAAGCAAAAGATATGCTTATTTAGAAGCCTACATGTACATGTCAGGGCCCACAGAACGAAGGTGCTCAGGGGGTGGGGGGGGGGGTGGGACTAGAGGGCCCCCATCCTTTTGAAAAAAGTATGTCAAAGATAAAGAGAAATAGTCTACCAGAAAGAAAAAAAAGAAAAGAAGAAAGAAAGAATGGACTTAGATTGAACTCAACAGATCCATGGGGTCCCCTAAGTTTTCACTTTGGACCACACATTTTGAACCTTGACAGGGAGCCAATGCAGGTGGACCCCAAAAATGTTTAACTGGAAAGTTAGTGTGGAGAACTGGTTTATAGTGTATATATCAAACCATATGTTTCTTTCTTGCTTCAGAGTCACTTCCCTGCCACCTCTCTTTTAAAGGTAAATATCAGTTTTAGAAATGCCCCCCTCTCCAAAAATGAAATGGAAGCTCTTATTACAGTACCAATCATGTGAAAGAATTTGTTTCGACTAATACGTGATGATACAAATTTTTCTGAGAAACCACCAACTAATTGATATATTTGGTAAATTATTATATCTATTTGGACCCGATAGATATCACGCATGTGTCGTGTAGTCCCATATTCATCTTTTTGTGTCCAGTGCTTGTAACTTTACCAAGACTGGGCCAAATTTCTTATCATTTTGATGATTCCAGAACCTTGCAGTACACACCAATACTTATATGCTAGATGATCAACCTGTCCTGATTGATTCCACAACGTTTCTTTCACAATGCAATCGCTTGACCATGCATATTACTGGTCTTTATCTTTAATCTAATCTGATGGTTAGCCAACGTCTCTCCATACAGAACTGATGCCTTTGAGGTCGTGATCAGGAAGGAGGGAGTTACACCCAATACGCGCTAGCTTGGTGACCTGGGACCATGGACAGTCTGGTGACGTTGGACAACCAGGTGACTGAGAGGATCTTCGAGGAGACCCTAACCAAGGAGCAGCTCGATGACATGCTCAAGAATCAAATCAGACCAGGTTAGTATTACTTATGATGCAATGCTTCAATGACGCGTGCACTCTAGCTGAAAATTACTCTGGCGTGACTTGTTAACACTTAAGCAGGGCTCCCATTTAGCCGAGTTGTATTAGCTAAATATGTGGAGTTGTGGTGAGTCGCCTAAAAGAGGCACTTGCAATAACTCGCGAACAGCTCTTCTTGTAACTTGGGATAACCCGCAACAATTTGGTATGGCTTGTTTACAACATTCCACGACTCTCCTCGAAGTCGCGAGCAGTTGTTCAAAATTTTTGCCGATTCGTTGTAATTCGAGGTGAACTCGCCTACACTTGTAATATACTCGCATTACTCGTAACAAGCTCGTGCTGCACTCTTCATAACTCGTAGCAACTCGCCACCTTATGAAGAGTGCAGCGCGAGCTTGTTACGAGTAATGCGAGGATATTACGAGTACATGTACATGTAAGTGAATTCACCTCGAGTTACAACAAATCAGTGAAAATTTGAACATTTTCAAAATTTTGTAACTGCTCCCGACTTCAAGTCGAGGAATGTTGTAAAGAGTTACGCTGAGCCATACTGAGTTTTTGCGAGTTATCCCGAGTTACAAGAAGAGCTTTCCCAAATTATTGCGAGTGCCTCTTTGAGGCAACTCACCACAACTCGTCTTAACTTGCTAATACAACTCGGCTTAGTGGGAGCCCTGATTTTAGCCCTCAATTCAATTCAATTCAATGAAATAACTATGAAGGGTGCCACACTCGGGTGAATTGCCGTTTGGTCTACTACTAATTTATCTACTACCCAATTAGTCTATTCCCATATGGTCTACACTCAGCACGTCTACTATCCACATGGTACCCTCATAATCATTCTGTATACTTATTATTAGTTCTAATTACCATACCTGTATATAGGCGAAAGTCTATTAGTCTAATTTCCTTTTGGTCTTATCTACAAGTCTAATACCCATTTGGTCTATCAATCATTTGGTCTAATTGCCAGTTTTTGTTATGCCTATTTTGTCAACTATCCAAATTTTCTAATAATCATTTAATCAATAATGATAATCACCAACTTTTTCAACGACCTTAGTCATGGGTGGTAGAAAAAAAATCGGCATCAGACAAACTTGAAATTAGACCAACTGGCAATTAGACCAAGTAAGTGATAGACCAAATGATAAGTAGGCAAAATAATTATGGGACCATGTGGAGAGTAGACAAGCTGGGTGTAGACCATATTGTAATTTAGACCAATTGGGTAGTAGATGAACTACAGTGTACATGTCACTATGAATATGACAGACAAAGAAAGCAGACAAAATATACAGTTCCTCATGCAGACAAAGGAACATCCCTTCATTGCTATTATGTAAAAAGGTGAATATGCATGTGACACCTGTTCTACACATTTTTACATAATGGCAGTGAAGGGATGCTCCTTTGTCTACCTGAGGAACTGCATATTTTGTCCGCTTTCTTTGTCAGTCATATTCATAGTGACATGAAGTTGCAGACCAAACGGCTATAAACCCCACACTCGTTATTGTCCCCGGGTTAGGAGCCTCATATTGTGGGTCTGTATGCTTTAGGTGATTCAGGTACCTCTTGATAGTTGGATATTTTTGTAAGGGGCCATGTGTACTACTCTGTCCCTGTTAGTGTTAATCCTTGCCTAGACTTAGCTCTATACCTAACCCAAAACCTCACAAAGTCAAATCCCAAGCCATACATGTATATCTCATCCTATAGAAGAAAGTCTAGATTTCTGCTCAGAGATTGAGAAACTACACAAAAATACAAGAACTAATGATGCTCTCTGTTCACAAAGAATTGTTTCACAAATGGCGCTCTTCCGAAAAAAATCTGGCTTTTTTGTGTACAGTGTACAGTACAAAAATGCTGTAGCACAGGGGGTATGAACAAATTTAAACCAATACATGCAGCAGTCAAGTGGCTAAGATGATATACATTTTTCATTAAGAATGTAGCAGAGTAAGGATTACATAAATTTACAAACATTTCAGAAGCTCGATTTATTCAACCAGGCAAGTGGAAGTGGAACTGAAATGGTCAAATTTACAGGAAAAACATTTTTATCATGGGAATAGTAGACCAATGCTTATAATTTTGTGTCTCGCCTGTGTAGCAAAAAGCGAGACATAGGCGCCGCTTTTCCGGTGACGGCGGGGGCGACGGCGGTTACGGCGTCAACATCAAAAACTTAACCAAAGGTTAAGTTTTTGAATTTGTGATATAATTTTTAAAGTATAAGTTCTTAGTCAATGAAATTTGGACTATAGGGTTATCAAGTCTCCCCAATCATGTGAGTAGAATTTCAGGTCACTAAGTTAAGGTCAAAGGTCATTTTAGGTCAACATACTGAGACTTTGTTGTGTCATCAACATTAAGATATAAATTTTTTAGCATATTTTCAAAATTGTTTATTCAAATTCCATGAAACTTGTACCCAAGGGAAATCAAGTATCCCAAATCATATGACACAACTTCCAGGTCACAAGGTCATTTTAGGTCATTTTTGGTCAGTAGACTTGGGATTATGTTTTCACAACTTAATATAAGAATTATTTAATCAATTTTGTTGATTAATTTGTTCATATTTCATTCAAGTTATTGATCGTGGTACAATTACTAGTAAATAATTCTTCTGATGATTCTTAGTCATAATTCACTTCAAAATGCTTATTACGGTATATTCAGAGGATTTCGTTTTTTGGGGCCTGCTAATGAACCACCCTGCCTGTGAATAATGCTCCAACCTCAATTTTTCATCATATCGAATTGCGTAATGCAGGCGAGACCGCCGAGAGCGTTTCCCTTGTTTTGAAATCTTGTCTAGTTTGGTTATTTTAACAGAGGCAATTTTCAGCCTGGTTGCTTTGTAATCTTATCAGCCAACAGATTGTGAAAGGAAATTCAAATCCACATTGGGTATATTGGCACAATGAATAATGATATCCCTATAAAATGGGACTTTCATCACAGCACAAAGCAAGACATCTCATGCCAACTAGATCCCTAGACATGCGTGAGCATTCAGAATGTTGAACTGTCAATTGAAAAGAATGCAGCTTTCAAAAAACTTCCTTATTCGTTTCCCTCGGCTTAAAGCAAACATTAGTCAATCCTTTAAAGCCCCACTGTCCTACTTGTAGCTTCTTACTCCCTCTATATAGAAAACTTCCCAAATCGGTGCCTGTTGGTCCCCCATAATCCTCTTTTTCTTATGTTAGTTGAGAGCTCAGTTAATGAGATAGCCACCTGTCAGTGACCTCGCTGTGTGGTCTAATCCCTTCTGGCCCAGTAGTGTTGACGGCCTTTAAATCAGTACATGACATTTACATCAAGCAACTGATGCTCTTCATATTTCTTTCATGCTGCAGCTCACTGGGAGGATGGTATTGCATCCTACTTCAGGGTCCAGAAGATCATTGATCTCCTGCAGGAGGTGGACAAACCCTTGGATCCCAATCTGGACCTTGCCATCACCGTCTTGTCCGCTGGCAGAGCTAGGATCCGCAACCAGTCTCACAAGGACTTCTGCCGCGACATCAAAGCCAAGATGGACGATCTAGAGGGTCAGACCGATGATGATCTTCATCAACCTGTAGAATGGCTAGCCCCTGGTTGCTTCCCGATAGGACCAGAGTGCGAATCCCTAGGAATCTTGGGTGATATTCTCTTTGACAAGGAGAAGTTGTTCCCTAAGGCTATTGATCCTGACAGCATTTCGAACAGAGTGATGTTTGAACTCAGTGAATATGTGACCCGTACAAAAGAAACGTATGAGACCCTGGCAGGGTGGATCAAGAAAATAATGGGATGGGGCGATGAATTTGACCTTACTTCAAAGATGGTTGACAATTGGTGCGCCACGTTGATGAGAGAGACCAAGAAAAGGAAGAAGAGTAGCTTAACTTTGGCTCAGAAATACCTCTTGCAAAAATTCCAATTTTCTGGGTTGGAGTTCCCTACAACGAGCCATGGCAAAGAGGATATAACTAAGCCATCCTTGGAGCATCCACCAGAAGCAAGTGGCATCGCTGTTGAATTTTCTGAGGATGATGCAGAGAATGACAAAGAAGAAGCCATGGATGTATCCGGTTTCCTTCAAGAGGGCACAGAAGTGGATAAACCACCAAGTGAAAAGAAATTACCGGTCACATCATCTTCACCTGTTGATGGAGATGAAAATGGGGAAATTGATGGCAACGATGGTGGTGATATTCACAACAGAAGTGATAAGGAATTGAGCAGTGGTGAGGAAAAAGAAGCAGTTGAAGCGTCAACATCACAGTCTTCAAGGAAGACATCACCTAGAAGTGCAGCTAAAACTGCTCGGGCCAAAATGATTACACCTGAATCAAAGACTCTATCTAGAGGTGCAGCTATAGCTGCTCGGGCCAAAATGATTACACCTGAATCAAAGACTATATCTAGAGGCGCGGCTATAGCTGCTCGGGCCAAAATGATTACACCTGAATCAAAGAATTTATCTAGAGGTGCAGCAATAGCTGCTCGGGCCAAAATGAGTAAACCTGACCCAAAGACTTTATCTAGAAGTGCAGCATTATCACCCTTGAGTAAGAAGGAAACTAGACAATCTACATCTTCTAAGAATACAAAGAGAAGAGCCCCAGCAAAGAAAACCACATCAAAAGTACAAAAGCCTGCCAGAAGTAGTGGTCGTAAAAGAATACTAGATTCATCTGATGACTCTAGTACTGGTGAAAAGCCTGCCAGAAGCAGTGGTCGTAAAAGAATACTAGAGTCGTCTGATGACTATAGTTCTGGTGATCAGGATGATGATGATGACGATGATGAGGATGAAGAAGAGGATGAGGAGGAGGAGGATGAGGAGGAGGATGAGGAGGAGGAGGATGATAACAGCATCGAGGAAGGTGAAGTAAGGACAATCAGACGCAAGTCTGGGAATACCAGTATTATCAAGAGAGACATTGCTGAGGCTGCTAAACTTTTCACGTCCATGAGCGGAGTTGTGAATACTCTAAAGAAAGACATGCGAATCGCGATGGACTACCTGGAAAGTCAGACTGCCAAGATATGCAAGAATCTTCAAAAAGCCGAGAAAAAGCTGGACAATGTCATGAAAATGGTGGAATCGGACAAAGCACAACACGATAGTGAAGATGAGGTACAGGAGGAGAGTAGCGAGGAAGAAGAAGAAAGTGACGAGGAAAAACCGGTGAGACGTACCAGGGGATCACAGCAAACTAAGAAGATAACTGTTCAAGTCAAACCAGGCGTAAAAGCCAAACTTAAGAGACCACTTGTCAACGTCAAACGGCTTTCCCCCAGAAAGGGCCATTCTCACCCTACAGCCAGTGCACAGTCAACTAAAGTGACTCGAACGCCATTAAAAGTTTCTCGGCAGAAGATGGGTAGTAGAGCTTCAAGTTCAACAAAATCCATGGCTACCGAAGAAGAAATCAACAACTTTGACAAGGAAAAGCTCTTCTCTAGTAGAGTGTCTGTGTCTCTGGTTAAGATCAGTAGTAAAGATCTAGTCAAGAAAACTTTAAAAGAGTATGACCACTGTTTTGAAGATAGCGACGAAGAGTCGACATGTTTAAGAACGACACGAAGGCACTGTACTTCGTTTGAGAAGTCAGGAAAAACAAGTGCAAGAAAAAGTCCAGCTAGGAGAGGTCCGGAACCAAAGATAGACTCTGATGATGAAAAAGAGAGGAGCGATGAGGAAGACCAAGAGATGGAAGAAGACGACAAACTTTCAAATAGAGCAAGAAGAACATCCGGCAAATTTCAGTCAAAGCAGAAAAGTGCAGATGTGAGCAGTGTTAAGAATAAGAACTCAAGGAAGGTCAGTTCTGAATCATCAAAGAAACAGGATTCTGATCATTCTGATGTTGACGAGAAGCCTTCCTCTAAAAATTTTACAAGGAGTAATCCTAGGGAAAGCAGAAATGGCAGAGTGAACCACACAAATACGGAAATAGTCTCAAGCGAAGAAGAAGAAGAGAAACAACCCTCTAGGTCAACACGTTCTTCAAGGTCTTCAAGGTCTAGAAAGACCAAAGAGGATTCAGACAAGGGAGAGGGATCCCCACCTAGATCTCGGAAGGGAAGGGACAAATCCCAACGTGATAAGGAGGAAACTCACAAATCCTCTGAAATTGAACCACCTTACAGCGGCAGTGAGGACGAGGGTGAGGTTCCCAAGAAACCGGAGCGATCTGCTTTTGCCGCTCTGGCAGCGGGAATGTCGTCTTTTGGGGATTGGCGGGGAGCATCCGCAAAGGAGAAGGTGAAGAAACGATCTCTGAATGATTTTGTCAAGCAGCTGAACAGTCCCAAGAGGAGAAAGACAGATTCTGGAAAGAAATCCTCTCCAGGAAAAATAAACGCTAAACATCAGCCCAATGATAAAAGCAGTGAAGAAGATGACACTGAATTGAACGAGGAGGAGAATGATGATGATGATGACTTTCTCGAAAAGCAGACTGAAATGGAACTCAAAAAACAAAAGTCAAATGGATCTACCACTCAGGAGGAAAGTACTAAACCACAAAATGATGATAAAATGGATGAAACAAATGATGACGAGCAAGAGCACGAGAGTCCAAATGAATTTGAAACGGAGAGTCAAGTTGAAGGAGACAAAGAACAAAATAAGTCTGAAAAATGTGGCAATGAGGACATTCCAGCAATTGAAAAGACTCTGTCCAATCAGAATGCTGATGATGAGGCAAAGGGTAATTCCGAACCAGCGGGGATTGAAGAGAAGGAATTCGTAAAAGACGATGAATTTCCTGGAGATGGTATCGTTGGAAAGCGCATCCGGCATCGCTGTAGTTTGGGCAAACATGGTCTGTACAAGTGGTATGAAGGGAAGGTGGTCCACAAGACTTCTCCGAGTGAATTGCTCAAGCTGGATGAGGAACAAATTGGTCATCTGAACAATCTCTACACCTTTTATACGGTGAAGTATGATGATATCGACGATCTCCATGCCAAAGCATTAGCGTATGACTGGGACAGAGAAAATTTGGTGCTCTGCTCATGAGAATGGAGCAATAATCGTTGCTCATGCTGTCAAGTGTTTTGGCTTTCATTTATCTGTACCGGTTATTGAAAGGTGCTAGCATCTGGGCATACCCAGGGAAGAGAGGGTTGGTGTAACAGGACTGAAAAATGTTTATAGTTTGGAATTCATTGACATTTTCATTTCCCATGTCAGGGCTCCGTATCAATTTTTGTTTAAACTGGGTCTCGATCCTGAGACACCTGACTGAATTTTAAAGTCCCTCTGCACAGGGACTCAGTAGTTAGCTGTCATGGGGAATTCAACACTGTTCGGGTGTTCACCCAGTAACAGGTGTTGTCAATCACCAGGGTACGCCTTAAGTTTTATGACCATTCGACCTTATTTAATGCTTTGCTTTTCCCTCACCCGATCCGAAGCGGGATCTGAAGCTAGACTCTCCGAGAGATAAGGGGGTAATTCTTGACTGGCCAATGGGTTTGCTGTGTGCAGATTTGTACTCCCATTAATGGTTTTCCCACCAAGTTTGGTGACTCCCTTTAAACAAATCTTAGGATCTGGAGATTATATTTGGGGCCCGTGTCTAGCAGGTGCCCCTAGTGGGTGCCTGTTGGCGTCGAGCGAAAGCAAATGTAGAGGAGAATGTACAGGGATTATTTCCCTATATAAATATCCCACTTGTTCTATGACTATTGAATGTGTTTTGAGCTTGAAACTAGTATGACGAATACAAACGTCTCACCTTGCTCTTAGGGAAGCAGAGCTGCCAATCATTCTGTTTTTGCCGTAATTACTCTGTTTTTTCCTCCAAATTACGGTATCACGTTTTTTCTTCATAAAATACTTTTTTTTACATACCGCAACTGCCCTAAAATGGTGATTTGTTCACAAATTCATTAGAAACTAAATTTAAAACATATGGTACCTGAAAAGAAAAATATTCTCAAAAAGAATGAAATGCCGATAAGACCAAGATAACCACCCAAAAAATTCCTGCTTGTATGGAAAAAAACAGCATGATGAATGAACATTTCTGCATTGGAAGTGTGTTGCGCGTGGTTGTAAGTTTCGTTTTGATCAATTCCATTTTTTTGCTTGAAATTCCTTTTTTTTGCCATCATGATTCCTTTTTTTGGTCGCACAAGCTTGGCAGCTCTGGGATAGGTGGCTAAACCATTTCTCAATGACCCTACATCTCTTGATAGTTTACATTGTAACACCCTGGTCATCCCCCCGCCCGCTCTAGATTGGGGGGATACCGGTAGATAATCCCTATTTGCCCAGTTCGGGAACCCCTTTGTATATTGGTGATGGCTCTTGACTCTTGTATAACAGGTCCTGGGTTCAATACTTGCTTGTTTTGCATAGCCTTGGATGAGGAATTTTGCCTACATTGGTCCCTCCTATCCCAGGGGGGGTGTTTCACAAAGATCCTAAGTTGATCTTATCTCTAAGTTGGACTTAACAATGATGGAAAGCCATTAGCATCTATGAAAATATTTTGTAAAAGTTATTATAAAAGGCATAAAATGTTGATTCAAATCATTCATATTTTCTATCATCAAGGAGATTTCAAGTTCTTGATGTGAAATTTATGAAAAGTCTAAAATATATTTTATTTTTAGGCTACAAATGGCCCTCCATAATTTTTGTGTCCAACTTAGAGTTAAGTTCAACTTAGGAGCTTTGTGAAACACCCCCAGGTGTATGAGGTAGAGAAGCCACGATAGCTCAGTTGGTAAAGCAGTGGTCTCGTAATTCTGTTTCCAAACCAATTACATTGTAGATGCGCTTTGGTAAGGCATCAATCCTCATTACCAGGCCCCTCGGACAGGACCTAAAGCCGTCTGTCCTCTGGTTGCTTACTAACCAGCATTTATTCTTTCTTAGCAGTCAGGTAAAATCACCACCACTACTACTACTACTGGGTGCCTGGCAATGCTGGGGGGGGGGGGGTGTTTCACAAAGATCCTTAGTCAAACTTAACTTAAGTTGGACTTAAAAATTATGGAGAGCCATTTGTAGCCTTAAAATAAAATATATTCAATAGTGAAAATTAAAAATATTTTTGAATTTTAACAAATTCCACATCAAGACCATTAAATCTCCTTGATAATCGAAAATATAAATGATTTGAATTCACATTTTATGCCTTTTAAAATAACTTTTACAAAAAGTCATAGATGCTAATGGCTTTCCATAATTGTTAAGTCCAACTTAGAGATAAGTTCAACTTAGCATCTTTGTGAAACACCCCCTGGGGTATTAATAATTGAAAGCCTACAGGAAGAGTAGTACCGGTATTGATAATGATGCGGCTACCCCATTTAAGTTTGAACAGATGATTAACTACTTCACCATTTGTTTTCACAGGCTAATTTAGTACTCAACGGTTTAATGATGTTGTTTTCCCCTTGGATTTAGTTAATTGTTTATTTCCCTCTCCCTTTCATCCCCTCCCATTGTTAGCATGCACTATAAACATGACAGACAAAGAAAGCGGACAAAATATACAGTTCCTCATTCTACCCTCAACCATTGCTGTGGTAGACAAAGGAACATACCTTCACTGCTATTATGTACAAATGTGTAGAACAGGTGTTACATGTATATTCACCTGTGCTACTTATCTTTACAGCTATTAAAAAGCAGTGAAGGGATGTTCCTTTGTCTACCACATTTATTTTGTCTGCTTTCTTTGTCCATCACATTCTTAGTAATTGCATCATTGCATGCTTCAATGTGTGCTAACTTTATGTAAGCAGCACAATCTTTCCTTCTGTCCAGTATAAGGGTATGTTCATTTGGCAAGCATGCACAAATTCATTATCACTGTGAACTGCAGAAAATTAATAAAATGTCAAAGGTGAAAGATGCTTTATTTGACATCTTTGTTTCAGGTGAAATTTACAAGATTTCAAAAAAATGTACAACTCATTCCTTTGCTAAATCTAAAAGTACTACATGCTTCAGAAACTGTCTTTAGGACACAGTGCATCTACTGTATCTCCTGGCTTCTTTGATTTTCTGTCCCTGTCTTGTATTTCTTGAAAAAGCATAGTGTATATTGTACTTAAGTTGGAATTTATAGAGATTACCAATTGTGTATGCAGGAATTGTTCAATATATTTTTGGATACAGATATATTTGTGGATAGTAGCGACACTCATATTTTCGGTAGTTGTTTTTACGATAATTACATATTTGCACAAGCTTTGTCAGCTCATTTTTTGCATGTAGTTAAATTCTTAACTACAATTTCTGAATTTGAAGAACCATAAGATGGGCATATTGACAGTAGCAGCTTCATATACAGTTTACTCTAATTATAATAATATTTCCTTGATGTGTGTTGCATTCTGATATTGATTTCAGAAATAAAGTTGTTAAAGGCGTTGCACAAAAAAAATACAAAATAATAATTATAATAATAATAATAATAATAGTAGTAGTAGTAGTAGTAGCAGTAGTAGAAGTAGTAGTAGTAGTAGCAGTAGTAGTAGTAGTAGTAGTAGCAGCAGTAGTAGTAGTAGTAGTAGTAGTAGCAGTAGTAGTAGTAGTAGTAGTAGTAGTAGTCGTAGTAGTCGTAGTAGTCGTAGTAGTAGTAGTAGTAGTAGTAGTAGTCGTAGTAGTCGTAGTAGTAGTAGTAGTAGTAGTAGTCGTAGTAGTAGTAGTAGTAGTAGTAGTAGTAGTAGTAGTAGTCGTAGTAGTCGTAGTAGTAGTAGTATTAGTAGTAGTAGTCGTAGTAGTAGTCGTAGTAGTAGTAGTAGTAGTAGTAGTAGTAGTAGTACATGTTTGGAATAGTGATAGTAATAAAGATAATTATAATAATATGAAGAAATACCAGACAGGGACATATAATAATAGTAATAAGAATAATAATGATGTATTTTCAAATTCGCTTTACAATTATGTCAATTCAAGTCTTTTTATCCAAATCAAAAATATTTTGTGGAAGTTGTCAATATGCCAGATAACGTAGGGTTGTAGATTCCTTGGCGACTTGCTCTTTGGCTCATTTCGTGTAGTCTCAGTAACTCTCAAGTACCAGTATACAGAGCTGCCAACCATTACATTGCTTCCCGGAATTATTCTGTTTTTTACTCCCAATTACGGTAGTACGTTTTTTCTTCACAAAATATGTTTTTTTAATATATTTTGTTGTTGTTGTTGTTGCACATCAACCAAATGTCCTATAATGTTAATCACTACTTCAATAGTAAACAAAAAATAAAGTGAAAAGCGTAAATATTCTCAAAAAGAAAATACCATGCAAACAAACATCAACATAAAACTACTGTATATACCTACTTGTAAATAAACTATACCAGTAGGTCCTAAATAATATGGCATTAGGAATGAGCATCAGCATGAGGAATGGACATTTCTGCATTGGAACTTGGAAGTGTGTCGCGCATGGTTGTAAATTTTGCTTTTGCTTGAAATTCCTTTTTTTTTGCCATCGTGGTTCCTTTTTTGATTGCACAAGGTTGGCAGCTCTGGGTATAAGTGTCAGATTTGATGTATTAAAGGTTAATGTACATAGTGAACATGTCCTAAATTTACAAATGGTGTAATGTATCAATGGTTTTTGTGTAAAATACAGATTAGACTAATTTCATTCAGTCAGGGATAACAGTTTCCTAATTTCTTACCTCCTTTTGGGTAAAGTTCTGTTATCAATCTAGAAGTGTAAAGGACATCTTTAAATCTGTGTAACCTTAACTACCTGTCTTTGGTGAGTTGGAAATCATGGTACAACAGATTTGCTTGAACCACTTGCCACTTGCTGTCTATATTTACTAACAAATGATTTGGAGAAGCACTTAGTTTCAGAAAATTTGACGGTTTACTAAAGTTGTATACCACAAGGGGTATCCTATGGAGTTATAGCTATATGTAGGCTGATAACATCCAAACTTCTTTGAAAGCACTTTGAAATGTAAAAATATTATTGGTATTTTTACGTAGAAGGGTGTGCCAGCTTGACTTGCTTTAATTTGTTCTTGTCTTCTTAAAAGAGTTCTCCATCCATGTCTGTATCATAGAAATCAATGAACACTCGATCCTGTATTGATCTTCAATTTGTGTGTTTTATGTACAACTGTAGTTGATTTTTTAAATATTTTGTACATGTGTTGTATATACACCTGTACATTTGTATTCTGTGTGTACATTGTCAGCTTACCAAGAGAAGATTTTAACAAAGAGTTGTTTTGTGAATTCCAAGATGCTTAAATGTGAAACTACATTCATTCAAGGTCTAGATGCGGAGATGGTGACACGTACACTGGGCGATTGAAATTGCTTTAGTTTGATTTTTTGAAAGTCTTTTTGATCTTGTAGAAAAGTACATGTAGTAATGAAATCAAAGTAGATTTAGTAGAGTGTATCATTTCTTTTCTGCTGTAAATATTGCATTCTTTTAAAGTTTGCTTATTTTATACTGTGTAGAACAGGGCATCACTTCATGTTTACTTTGAACATGATATTAATCCATAGTTTTGATGCTCATATTTTATTTTTTTAATCGAGTGAACAGACTATGGTAGACTGATTTATGAAGGGATTTTAAGTAGAATTGTCTCTTTCAAAGAAATGTATTTTAATGAGAAATGGACCTTGTCCACAAATATATGTTTCAATAGATTTTTTGAGATACTGTAAGTTCTGTAAAAAATGATTTTTATTTTTTATGTTTTTGATCAATCTTATCCACCACGTTGATCTGGTCAATGTGATTAGGCAGATTTATCAGACAATCTGATTGGTCAGTTACATTGGTCAATCATCATGAACCTTCTGATTGGTCAACCATAGAAGCACGTTGGTATGAACTGGGGGTGTTGTGGTGGTATAGTGGTTCATTCACTTAATTCTCAATTGAAGGATTGGGGGTTCAAATCCCAGCCTGGCCTTATAAAACTTC